GGCTCTAGACCCTTCCAGAGCTGAGATATCGAAACTCAAAATTTCGACCCGAAAAAAAAAACGACAGTGTTACCCCTTACGTTTTTTTGCGTTTTCGGGCGAAAAATCAAGTTTCTCCAATCTTCTCAAAACTCTGGATTATGATAGAGGGCCGCGAGACTTTGACCTGAGCGCAAAAATGGAGGCTCTAGACCCTTCCAGAGCTGAGATATCGAAACTCAAAATTTCGACCCGAAAAAAAAAACGACAGTGTTACCCCTTACGTTTTTTTGCGTTTTTGGGCGAAAAATCAAGTTTCTCCAATCTTCTCAAAACTCTGGATTATGATAGAGGGCCGCGAGACTTTGACCTGAGCGCAAAAATGGAGGCTCTAGACCCTTCCAGAGCTGAGATATCGAAACTCAAAATTTCGACCCGAAAAAAAAACGACAGTGTTACCCCTTACGTTTTTTTGCGTTTTCGGGCGAAAAATCAAGTTTCTCCAATCTTCTCAAAACTCTGGATTATGATAGAGGGCCGCGAGACTTTGCCCTGAGCGCAAAAATGGAGGCTCTAGACCCTTCCAGAGCTGAGATATCGAAACTCAAAATTTCGACCCGAAAAAAAAACGACAGTGTTACCCCTTTCGTTTTTTTTCATTTTTGGGCGAAAAATTAAGTTTCTCCAATCTTCTCAAAACTCTGGATTATGATAGAGGGCTCTGAGACTTTGACCTGAGTGCAAAAATGGATGATCTAGACCCTTCCAGAGCCGAGATATCAAACTTCAAAATTTCGACCCGAAAAAAAAACGACAGTGTTACCCCTTTCGTTTTTTTTCATTTTTGGGCGAAAAATTAAGTTTCTCCAATCTTCTCAAAACTCTGGATTATGATAGAGGGCTCTGAGACTTTGACCTGAGTGCAAAAATGGAGGCTCTAGACCCTTCCAGAGCTGAGATATCAAACTTCAAAATTTCGACCCGAAAAAAAAACGACAGTGTTACCCCTTACGTTTTTTTTCATTTTTGGGCGAAAAATTAAGTTTCTCCAATCTTCTCAAAACTCTGGATTATGATAGAGGGCTCTGAGACTTTGACCTGAGTGCAAAAATGGAGGCTCTAGACCCTTCCAGAGCTGAGATATCGAAACTCAAAATTTCGACCCGAAAAAAAAACGACAGTGTTACCCCTTACGTTTTTTTTCATTTTTGGGCGAAAAATTAAGTTTCTCCAATCTTCTCAAAACTCTGGATTATGATAGAGGGCTCTGAGACTTTGACCTGAGTGCAAAAATGGAGGCTCTAGACCCTTCCAGAGCTGAGATATCGAAACTCAAAATTTCGACCCGAAAAAAAAACGACAGTGTTACCCCTTACGTTTTTTTTCATTTTTGGGCGAAAAATTAAGTTTCTCCAATCTTCTCAAAACTCTGGATTATGATAGAGGGCTCTGAGACTTTGACCTGAGTGCAAAAATGGAGGCTCTAGACCCTTCCAGAGCCGAGATATCAAACTTCAAAATTTCGACCCGAAAAAAAAAACGACAGTGTTACCCCTTACGTTTTTTTTCATTTTTGGGCGAAAAATTAAGTTTCTCCAATCTTCTCAAAACTCTGGATTATGATAGAGGGGTCTGAGACTTTGACCTGAGTGCAAAAATGGATGATCTAGACCCTTCCAGAGCCGAGATATCAAACTTCAAAATTTCGACCCGAAAAAAAAACGACAGTGTTACCCCTTACGTTTTTTTTCATTTTTGGGCGAAAAATTAAGTTTCTCCAATCTTCTCAAAACTCTGGATTATGATAGAGGGCCGCGAGACTTTGCCCTGAGCGCAAAAATGGAGGCTCTAGACCCTTCCAGAGCTGAGATATCGAAACTCAAAATTTCGACCCGAAAAAAAAACGACAGTGTTACCCCTTACGTTTTTTTGCGTTTTCGGGCGAAAAATCAAGTTTCTCCAATCTTCTCAAAACTCTGGATTATGATAGAGGGCCGCGAGACTTTGCCCTGAGCGCAAAAATGGAGGCTCTAGACCCTTCCAGAGCTGAGATATCGAAACTCAAAATTTCGACCCGAAAAAAAAAAACGACAGTGTTACCCCTTACGTTTTTTTGCGTTTTCGGGCGAAAAATCAAGTTTCTCCAATCTTCTCAAAACTCTGGATTATGATAGAGGGCCGCGAGACTTTGCCCTGAGCGCAAAAATGGAGGCTCTAGACCCTTCCAGAGCTGAGATATCGAAACTCAAAATTTCGACCCGAAAAAAAAACGACAGTGTTACCCCTTACGTTTTTTTGCGTTTTCGGGCGAAAAATCAAGTTTCTCCAATCTTCTCAAAACTCTGGATTATGATAGAGGGCCGCGAGACTTTGCCCTGAGCGCAAAAATGGAGGCTCTAGACCCTTCCAGAGCTGAGATATCGAAACTCAAAATTTCGACCCGAAAAAAAAAACGACAGTGTTACCCCTTACGTTTTTTTGCGTTTTCGGGCGAAAAATCAAGTTTCTCCAATCTTCTCAAAACTCTGGATTATGATAGAGGGCCGCGAGACTTTGCCCTGAGCGCAAAAATGGAGGCTCTAGACCCTTCCAGAGCTGAGATATCGAAACTCAAAATTTCGACCCGAAAAAAAAACGACAGTGTTACCCCTTACGTTTTTTTGCGTTTTCGGGCGAAAAATCAAGTTTCTCCAATCTTCTCAAAACTCTGGATTATGATAGAGGGCCGCGAGACTTTGCCCTGAGCGCAAAAATGGAGGCTCTAGACCCTTCCAGAGCTGAGATATCGAAACTCAAAATTTCGACCCGAAAAAAAAAACGACAGTGTTACCCCTTACGTTTTTTTGCGTTTTCGGGCGAAAAATCAAGTTTCTCCAATCTTCTCAAAACTCTGGATTATGATAGAGGGCCGCGAGACTTTGCCCTGAGCGCAAAAATGGAGGCTCTAGACCCTTCCAGAGCTGAGATATCGAAACTCAAAATTTCGACCCGAAAAAAAAACGACAGTGTTACCCCTTACGTTTTTTTGCGTTTTCGGGCGAAAAATCAAGTTTCTCCAATCTTCTCAAAACTCTGGATTATGATAGAGGGCCGCGAGACTTTGCCCTGAGCGCAAAAATGGAGGCTCTAGACCCTTCCAGAGCTGAGATATCGAAACTCAAAATTTCGACCCGAAAAAAAAACGACAGTGTTACCCCTTACGTTTTTTTGCGTTTTCGGGCGAAAAATCAAGTTTCTCCAATCTTCTCAAAACTCTGGATTATGATAGAGGGCCGCGAGACTTTGCCCTGAGCGCAAAAATGGAGGCTCTAGACCCTTCCAGAGCTGAGATATCGAAACTCAAAATTTCGACCCGAAAAAAAAACGACAGTGTTACCCCTTACGTTTTTTTGCGTTTTCGGGCGAAAAATCAAGTTTCTCCAATCTTCTCAAAACTCTGGATTATGATAGAGGGTCGCGAGACTTTGCCCTGAGCGCAAAAATGGAGGCTCTAGACCCTTCCAGAGCTGAGATATCGAAACTCAAAATTTCGACCCGAAAAAAAAACGACAGTGTTACCCCTTACGTTTTTTTGCGTTTTCGGGCGAAAAATCAAGTTTCTCCAATCTTCTCAAAACTCTGGATTATGATAGAGGGCCGCGAGACTTTGCCCTGAGCGCAAAAATGGAGGCTCTAGACCCTTCCAGAGCTGAGATATCGAAACTCAAAATTTCGACCCGAAAAAAAAACGACAGTGTTACCCCTTACGTTTTTTTGCGTTTTCGGGCGAAAAATCAAGTTTCTCCAATCTTCTCAAAACTCTGGATTATGATAGAGGGCCGCGAGACTTTGCCCTGAGCGCAAAAATGGAGGCTCTAGACCCTTCCAGAGCTGAGATATCGAAACTCAAAATTTCGACCCGAAAAAAAAAACGACAGTGTTACCCCTTACGTTTTTTTGCGTTTTCGGGCGAAAAATCAAGTTTCTCCAATCTTCTCAAAACTCTGGATTATGATAGAGGGCCGCGAGACTTTGCCCTGAGCGCAAAAATGGAGGCTCTAGACCCTTCCAGAGCTGAGATATCGAAACTCAAAATTTCGACCCGAAAAAAAAACGACAGTGTTTTCCCTTACGTTTTTTTGCGTTTTCGGGCGAAAAATCAAGTTTCTCCAATCTTCTCAAAACTCTGGATTATGATAGAGGGCCGCGAGACTTTGCCCTTAGCGCAAAAATGGAGGCTCTAGACCCTTCCAGAGCTGAGATATCGAAACTCAAAATTTCGACCCGAAAAAAAAAAACGACGGTGTTACCCCTTACGTTTTTTTGCGTTTTCGGGCGAAAAATCAAGTTTCTCCAATCTTCTCAAAACTCTGGATTATGATAGAGGGCCGCGAGACTTTGCCCTGAGCGCAAAAATGGAGGCTCTAGACCCTTCCAGAGCTGAGATATCGAAACTCAAAATTTTGCGTTTTCGGGCGAAAAATCAAGTTTCTCCAATCTTCTCAAAACTCTGGATTATGATAGAGGGCCGCAAGACTTTGCCCTGAGCGCAAAAATGGAGGCTCTAGACCCTTCCAGAGCTGAGATATCGAAACTCAAAATTTCGACCCGAAAAAAAACGACAGTGTTACCCCTTACGTTTTTTTGCGTTTTCGGGCGAAAAATTAAGTTTCTCCAAACTTCTCAAAACTCTGGATTCTGATAGAGGGCCGCGAGACTTTGACCTGAGCACAAAAATGGAGGCTTTAGACCCTTCCAGAGCTGAGATATTGAGATATTTATAATGGCATAAATGCTACGTAGGATCTCAATATATATATATATAATAGCTCTGGAAGGGTCTAGAGCCTCCATTTTTGCACTGAGGTCTAACCCTAACCCTAACACATTTAAAAAATCCTGATTTAAAACGTGCAATTCTACAGTTGATTTTTACATACAAACTATGAAATACTGGCAAAAATATATACAAAATGTAAATACACCTTAGAAAATGTTGCTTGCTTCTGTGTTTGGAGTGAAGTGCTGCCATGCTTCTCTTCAATGTAGAGGTTTTTATATATATATATAATTACTACATGCAGGGCTTTACTGGCAATTGATTGGATGACAAACGTTCAATTTCATGGACTGCAGGCTTTAAACTAGGTGAAATGCTCCAGAAGTTAAAAAAGGGGGCTGACATGTGATGTCTATTGTAATGGACACAAGGTCTGAATGGGTTAACTTTTATTCCTTTAACTTTTTGGTCTATTACTTGATGGAAGTCCTGATTCAATCTGAAATTTTATATAAGTTAAGCCTTTGTCACTGCATTCCTCTGCCATTCTAAAATCACCGTGATGCCCCAACTTTTGACTTATTGCTTTATCTTCCCAGAAGTCACTTTGTATCCAGACACAATAAATACTGACAGGCTTTTGTAACTAAATTAAGAACAAAAGGATTCAGCTAAAGCAGCAATCAAACAAACCCAGTAAGCCCCCTGCAGACTGTCTCTGCTGTCACTTAATTCTGACAGATAACACCTCTGTGATGCACATTACGCCCATTACCCTTTATCAAGTGTCTGCCACTAATCCTGACCCCTGCTTCCCCTCCCAAAGGTAAATAGTGTCCAGCTTACCCAAGCACGCATCCCTATTGATCATTATTGATTCCTGTTCTCGAGGACCCCGCAGAGCTGAGATGAGGAGTCTGTATCGGTGATTCTGTGGAGTCGCTCAAGGGAGTTGTAGATGATAAAGCCTGTTATTTGCCAACGGTCACACTGTAAATGTATAAACCTCGCTGGACGTTGTGATGGATAACCTGTCACTAGCCCAGACCAACAGATGTATGTAATGCTATATTTATGGCTCCTGGAGTTCTTTTATTTGATGTTTTTGATATAAGCCAGTTGTGAACGCACAGATACCAGATTCTCCTGGGAGAAATTTAGCATGAGAGATTTTCTCAGTTGCGGATTAACCTTTTTGAAAGATGATTCATCCAGTAATTTGGGAAATTTAGATCTGATGCAATCCAATACATGTTGAGCCAGGACATTTATTAAAAGGGATTTGATGATTCATGGGGAATAGGATTGTGGATCCTTCACTCTCCCTACTCAGATATTGTGGACATAAAGCCAGCCAACATGGAAGAGTTGACGGAGGTGATCACAGCGGCAGAGTTTCACCCTAACCAATGCAACACGTTCGTCTACAGTAGCAGCAAGGGCTCCATAAGATTGTGCGACATGAGAACCTCTGCACTTTGTGACAACCACTCTAAATGTGAGTTTACTAAGTCTTTTGACTGAGATGTGCTGTTCATTTAGTCTGCCAACTTACTGCAATCATTAGCTCTTTTACTCAAGATCTTGGATTAAACCAAATAGGGTTTAAGGCAGTATTTTTAAGTTTTAGGACACCATTGGGTGACCTGATGGAGTTTTAGGACACCATTGGGTCACCTGATGGAGTTTTAGGACACCATTGGGTCACCGGATGGAGTTTTAGGACACCATTGGGTCACCGGATGGAGTTTTAGGACACCATTGGGTGACCTGATGGAGTTTTAGGACACCATTGGGTCACCTGATGGAGTTTTAGAACACCATTGGGTCACCGGATGGAGTTTTAGGACACCATTGGGTCACCTGATGGAGTTTTAGGACACCATTGGGTGACCTGATGGAGTTTTAGGACACCATTGGGTGACCTGATGGAGTTTTAGGACACCATTGGGTCACCTGATGGAGTTTTAGGACACCATTGGGTCACCTGATGGAGTTTTAGGACACCATTGGGTCACCTGATGGAGTTTTAGGACACCATTGGGTCACCTGATGGAGTTTTAGGACACCATTGGGTCACCTGATGGAGTTTTAGGACACCATTGGGTCACCTGATGGAGTTTTAGGACACCATTGGGTCACCTGATGGAGTTTTAGGACACCATTGGGTGACCTGATGGAGTTTTAGGACACCATTGGGTGACCTGATGGAGTTTTAGGACACCATTGGGTGACCTGATGGAGTTTTAGGACACCATTGGGTGACCTGATGGAGTTTTAGGACACCATTGGGTCACCGGATGGAGTTTTAGGACACCATTAGGTCACTTGGAGTTTTTCGGTTCCTTGCCACTGTTGCCTTTGGCTTGCTCAGTTGGGGATATTCAAATTAATGAACCAATCAGTAATACCATTGATCAGCTCTATCAAACATGGATGTTTTTCCACTATGTTTTGATTGTTTCTCCCTATCAGTATTTGAGGAACCAGAAGACCCCAGTAATCGCTCCTTCTTCTCAGAGATCATCTCCTCCATCTCAGATGTGAAATTCAGCCACAGTGGACGCTACTTGATGACTCGTGACTATCTCACAGTGAAGGTGTGGGATGTGAACATGGAGAGCAAGCCTTTGGAAACTTACCAGGTACTGGCTCTGCAGATTAGACCATGACCAATGACTATGATGACGGTATAAACAAGGTGCTGATCGTGTGCTTTCGGTTCTTTCTTTGACAGGTCCATGACTACCTTAGGAGTAAGCTATGCTCTCTTTACGAAAACGACTGCATCTTCGACAAGTTTGAATGTGTCTGGAATGGAAATGACAGGTGTGTCAAAAGCGGGTGTGTCCAGTCCTCCTCTTGGATGTCCACATTCCAGTGTTTAGCTGTATCCTGGAGCTTTCGAGGAATCCTGAGAACCTTGATTAGTGGTTCAGATGTGTTTAATTGGGGTAGGAGGAAAACGCTACAGGAAGGTGTCCCTCCAGGAGGAGGATTGGACAAATCCTTGGTCAAAAACAATCAGATTTTGGACTATATATGGCCGATGTCAGGTAATAAGAGCTAACACTTGTCTATTTCCTTTCCCATTAGTGTCCTAATGACAGGCTCCTACAACAACTTCTTCCGTATGTTTGATCGGAACACCAAGCGTGATGTGACTCTCGAGGCCTCGCGGGAGAACAGCAAACCCAGAGCCATCCTCAAGCCACGCAAAGTTTGTGTTGGCGGCAAGCGCCGGAAAGACGAAATCAGTGTGGACAGTCTGGACTTCAGCAAGAAGATCCTACACACTGCATGGCACCCCTACGAGAACATCATTGCTGTGGCTGCCACCAACAACCTCTACATATTTCAGGACAAGGTCAACTAGCGTGTAGCTCGGACGTCTCCAGGTATCACAGCGGCAAAAGGCGCCATTTCTCTAGATGGCTTGAGGTTGGACTCAACATCTAGATGAGCTTTGCCTTTACAGCAGATTTGACGCTGCTCTGAATCGAACTACACAAAACTTGAAGGTGCATTGCAAACCACGAACAATGACACTGGCTGTTGGACTTTTGTTTTTAACTACTTCAAATCTTCTTCCTCTCAGTAGGTTTATTGGTTACGCACACCAATGCAGAGAGGACCCCTTTACTTTTAATGTAGCTGATGGCCCTTTCACATGACTCGTGTCAGGGTTTGACCGCTCTAACCGTCATGAGAAGCGTTGCAGATGGAAGCATGGAAGGATGTTGCTAGGTTGCAAGAAAGAGGAAATGTACAAAATGAAATGTAATGATATGCTTCAACAGTTAAAGTCGAATTTGCGTGAAGCATTTTAGCTCGACACCGTGCCGTGTAGCATGCAATGCATTAGGAGACATCGAGTCGTGTGAAAGGGCCTTTTCGACCGAGTCAGTATTCAGCCTACATTTGATTCGCACTCCTTGGCAGGACAGAGGACGCAGATGGCTCTGATAATGGAATATGTTATTGTGGCTGCTGAAATAATCAGCTTATTTTTATTTCTCAGTTTACTTCGTGAAGGTGCACGCATCATCAAAACCCAACTTCAGGGTTGACTGATGCAACAAACAAGTCATGATGTAAACGATGTAGCAATTGTACTAATGTTCTGCTTTTGTTCTAATTTTATAAAGAAAAGGAGAAATTTAATAAAAATCAAGAGGAAAATTTTGTATTTGTATTGTAATTTCATGGCCTGAGAAAAAGAGATCAGAACATCTGCTAAAAAACAAAAAAAGATCGCATTTATTTCCAGTAACACAGAAATAGCAACAAGCCCAAATCAAACCGCTTTTAGAAACACTTTTAGACACTGCTACAATTGATGCTCACAAGAGGCTGCAGTGTGACATGTACAAACGCATTCCCTGCCTGACCACCGAAGTTCATTGGCAATCCGCCTTGTGCGAGCCTGCAACTAGTGGCCGTACAGGGAACCATCTCGCACAGGTTGAGAAGATCGACAGGTTTAACACTGTGCTGTGATGAGCACAGGCTCATGCTCAGTCCTCTAAAGTCCACTACGGCTTCACTTTGTGGAGCGGCGGCTGGGTTCGGAGGCCGTGGGGGGAGGAGGGGGTCCCCGACGGTCCAGGTCCTCGATGTAGAACATGATGAGTTTGCGGCGCTCTTCCGGGACGCAGTCTAGGACCAGGTAACGTTTGTCATTCTGAAGGACTTTCTCGATGTCACTGAAGGCCTGGTCCGACTCCTGGATCGACTTCCGTGATCTACAGAGAACACAAGTTTGGCAGCTTTAAGGCCGTGTGTCCACCAAAGCGTTTTTCCACGCGCCTGGCGTATGTTTTCAATTGTTTTCAATGGGAGCGCCGTGTTTTTTAAACGCCATGAGCGTACCGAGGCGCTGAGCGTTTTTTTCACGCTGAAGTGTCGCTGGGAGTTGAAAAATGTTCAACTTTGGTTAAAACGCAGCGCTCATCATCACTGTCACTTTTTACCCAGTCATTCAATCACAGTGGAGGAGGGGCGGGACTAATACCACACCGACCAACTGTCACAACATTCAACTTCAGCGGATATTCTGTATCATAGCAACGAAATGTCTCAATGGGAAAAAACGCTGCGCTGCCAAAATGCTCAAGCACCCAAAGCATGGCGTCTTCAGCAGAGCGTCTAGCGTTTTTAGCTGGCTAAAAACGCTTTGGTGGACACACGGCCAAGTTTAAATTCTAGATGCTTAATGAGGCTAGTTACATTCATTTTCAAATAAAAAATCTGTCATTTATTCACTCATACCATCACAAACCTGTAAGACTGTCTTTGTGTTTCAATAAGACAAAATATTGACCATTTTTGAGAGTGAAAGTGATGTGCGTACCTATACGTGATGAATTTGGTTTCTTTCAGGAGAGTTCGGAAGTCAGCTTTGGCTGTGATGTATTTGTCCTTTATGTAATCTTCAAATTCCCGCTGTTTCTTCTAGAAGGTGAAAGAATGAATGTTTCAAAAAGTTGATGCCAAGGCAAAAAAAAGTCAATCTGACAACCTTATAATCGAACTCACTCGATCACTGCTGGAGAACTTGATGCAGCGTGGGTCATCTTTGATGATCTTCTTCACCTCTTTCCATGTGGTGGTTAATGTGATCTATGATTAAATAGTTACAGAAGCAGTGAGAACACATGGACAACCCACAGATACACATTTAAGGTTTTAATAATCCATTTGATATTTAATAACTTAATTTTCAACATCAGTTAAATAGGAAATCATAACGTGTTCAGATACAAAACATCTATTAACAAAAAGGTTCGACTAAACTTATAACAAAGCATATAACAATTATAATTATAATATAAAATGTATATATTTATACTTTAGTTATTATTATAATAAAATAAAGCATACAATAATACACTGACTAATCTCTCTCTATATAACTTATACTTTAACTTAAAATATAATAATTAGTATGCAAGTACATTTCATATTTATATTGTATAATTCTAAGTATATAATAATAAAATTGATATTGTTATTGTACAAGCATATAGTAACAGTAAGTATTATATATTTATACTATTCCTATTTAATTAAATAAGTATAGAAGTATAGTATACAGTATGGAAGTATATAATAACAATATATTACTATTGTTACTATATGCCAGTATAATAACAGTATATACATCATATCACTGTAAAAAAAATATTTTTTTTCTTTTGTCAAATCAACTTAATTTATTTAGTTCAGATAACATAATTTTGAGTTTCTGATGATTAAATCAATCTCCTTCATTGTATTAACTCACTTTTTCCATTTCAATGAACTTAAAATTAAGGCAACCAGGTTACTTACTTTTTTTAGTTAAAGTTAAACCAACAATATTTTTTACAGTGTAGGATGAGACTTATTATTATTATATAATGTATATAAGAATATATTGATATTATAATCAATATAATTGTTGTGGTGACCCTTGACTCACCATAGACGTCTCATCCAACAGCTGCCTGAAGTGTTCTTTCTTCCTCTTGGTAAGAGCCTCCACATGTTCTTCAAACAGTTTCTCCTTCTCATGTCTCTCCAGCAGAGACGACGACTCCCACCGGTGGTCTTTACGCAGGTTACGCCTCGTTTCAGACCAGGAAGCGTCCGTTGACCGTACCTATACGTGAACACAGGAGAGAACACATATTTAATACAATGTACAATTAGAAATCTAATTCTTCAGAGTGAGCCGGCACTGACCATATCTGACATGAGAGCTTTGAAGTGCTGGACGGCCTCCTCTCGTTTGTGCTGCTCTCTCTCTCGGTCGATCTCTTTGGTCTGTTCAGATCGAGCTCTCTGCACTTCCCGCTCTCTCTCCCTCAGACTGGCCTCGATGCGAGCCTGCCGTTCCAGATCCTTCTCTGCATCCGCATCCACGTTCTACACAACACAAAGACTGGTTGAAATGTTTCCATGTCCAAGCTAAAAAGTGGATTCTGCCCTGTCCTAATGACTCATACACAATAAGACCATCCTTCTGACCTTCGCCTGCTTCTCCACATACTGTTTGTACAGTTCTTCTCTAGCAGCTGAGCTCTCCACAGCTTTGTAGCGCTGGTCCGTCTCCAGCTTGTCCTTCACTTTGCTCCAGCGCTGAGAGACGTCCACGTGGTGGTCTGACAGCAGATCGAAGAAATCCTGTTTCACCTGCAGCCAGAAACACAAGTTGTCAGCTTAACCTTCAAATGGTCTTCGTTTCCGGTGTACACTTCTGGGCTTCCGGGTCTATACGACCCCAACAATCGATTGAGTAATTGTACAAAAAAAATATACATTTTTAATCATACAAATAATATATCGGTTTTTTTTTTTGGTTTACTTCTCATCTATTCATTAATGCTGTGTTTTTGGAGATATAAAGTACTTTTGTATGCATATACCACACAATTCCTCAACTACACCATTAGCTTGCATATGAAATATAAATTTTTTATGATTTATTGTATTTATATCCTTCATTTCTTGTTATTTATATATTATTTTATTGCCATTACCTGTTTTATACAGAAGTTTAGTTTGCTAAATGTTTTCGTTTTTTAGTTGGTTGTGAAAAGGAAATGGTTCTATATATATATATATATATATATATATATATATTTGTGTGTGCCGTAAAGTGGTTTGAAAAAATGAAATCGGTATAGGCAGGTCAAACTCTGAAAAAAATCTGAAATCGACCTAGAAAATTGTAATCGGTGCCTCTCTAAGTTCAATTCACTTTTGACTTCCTGTCAATGCAAGTGGCGGTCGTGGGAGGCCGGCGACAGACCTTTTCTACTTTGTTTTTGGAGTCTTCTTTGTCCTTCTTTTTCAAGGCCGCCATAAACTCTGTGAACATGATTTCTCTGTCCTTCATCTTCTCAATGGCCTTGAAACGAGGATCCTTGGAGTGTTTTGCGGCAAACTCACTGAACGTGGTCCTAAAAGGGAAATGAACACATGACATTTTAGTCTGTCAATCCAATCTGTTCACGCTTATCAGCAGGTCAAACCAGACCTTTATTTCGTGCTGAACACCCGAAATGTAGAGAAGGCCTAATTAAAACTAGAGCCAGGCCGATATTATCGGCCGATATTAGGAATTTTCCAAACTATCGGTATCGGCAGTTATAATGGCCGATAAATGAATATTTCAAAAATAAAATAAAAACGTACGAAACATGCTTGAACCATGTCATAAATGGTGTGTAGTTTGTCCACCAGAGGGCACTCTACACCGTTCCTGTTGGCAACACTCGTTGAGTTGGTCACGATACATACATTGCTTGAATAACAATTAAAAGAACATCCCCATCAGTTCTCTTAACTCAAATAAGCAGGACAAAATTTGTGGCCGGCGGAAGTTTCCTTGGCCTGTTATATTGAAAATGTATGTTTTACAATTTGCAGTATGACGTAATCCATTGCTAAATTATGGTTCATCATAGACTAGCTAACCATAAAGCTAGCTAATGCCACTATCATCAGTCTGTTCTGTTGTGACAATAAAATAAACTTTTAGAAAGTTTCTTTTTAAAATGCATTATCATATTATTTTGGTTAAAACTCATAAATAACTACAAATAACTAATGTTAGGGAAATCCATTAATGTTTTGTTGTGCCTTTCTGAAATAAAAAGTGAAAAAAATATCGGCCGATATATCGGATTTTAAAACCAAAAAATATTTGTATCGGTATCGGCCTTCAAAATCCTTTATGGGTCGGGCTCTAATTAAAACAGACCTAATGTGAAATCTGGCATCCTCCATCATCTTTCGGAAGTCGTCTTTAGCCTGCATGAGTTTATTCTTCTTCTCCTTCCTCTCTTCTTCAGCACGAGTCTTCACATACTGATCAAACACCTGCACAGTGAATGGAGACAAATTGAAAAAGCTGCTCACTCGTGCTCATTCAGCAAACACCAAATCACCCTCACCTGTTTCCTCTCCTTGGGGTTGAGCAGCAAATATCGAGGGTCGAACACAATCTTGTGCAGTTCTTTGTCCCAAGTGGAGAAAGCTGAAACCTGCAGGTATGAAGTGGGCAGAATGATGGCTTACCAACGAACAGATCATCCGATAATGTTAAAACAACACGTCAGTCATGTGACATACATACAAACGTCACTTGTGTTGAACCCACAACATTCCTTTAACAACATACAAAATTACAATGATACACAAATCTACATCAAATCACCACTACTGAAAAACACTGATAGACATGGATGAAATATAAAATCAAGCAAGAAAGTACAAACTTATCCATTACCCAATGCAACATTACATTCTACTGTGATAGTTACTTGAAATGCCAAATAATTACTATTATGTAGGACCAGTTTTTTTTTATTAAATCAGACAGATAGAGGTTCAAGTATGAACAGTGAAGGCACGAACATTACTGTGAAGTAGGACTGGATGGTATGACTCTTGATCGGTCAGTATTATCTCATGGCTCATCCACGTATTTGATTCGTTCATATCTCTCGTATCACACTGTGAACGCGCTCTCTCGCTCTCGTTTGATTCTAACTCAACTGATGTCATCTTGAGTCTCACTAATCCACTATTAAAAACAAAACTGGAGGACTTCAGTGTCAAAGGTGCTGTAATATTGTTGCCAATATATATTATATATTTTCAATTCATTTCAATATTTTATGTCTGGTAATTATTTTGGTGAAAAGCCTTATAATATGAGGTACAATTGTACATATTAACTTGATGTGAATTGTTTTTCTTCACAGAAGCTTTAAGGTTTAATATAAGGGAGTTAAAAAAATTCAACTCAAATCAATATTTTGTCCAGATGTTTACCTATGTGGTGAAACCAGACCACATAGGTACATTCTATATATTATATTATTCTATATATCATAACATATAAACATTATATGATATTCAGCCACATATCTTGCATATTATATGCAACAGTAAACATGAATAAATCCTGCTATACCATATATATTGCTGTTGTTTACCTACAGGGGTTGGACAAAAAAACTGAAACACCTGGTTTTACAACACAATAACTTGTTAGAATGGTGAGGGCCTCATTTTGCATCCAAATACAGCACCAATTGACAGATAGAAGTCCTTCACAGTGACCAGAGGGATTATGAGCCATTCCTCTTCCAGAACAGTGTCCAGGTCACTATATGATGCTGGTGGACTCGCTCCTCCAAAACACCTCAATAATATTCAGATCTGGTGACTGTCAGATCATGGGAGATGTTCAACGTCACTTTCATCTTCATCAAACCCTTCGGTCACAAGTCTTGCTGTGTGTGTTGGTGCATGATCATGCTGATACACGGTTTGAGCATCAGGTGCTCATGATCCTCCATAAGGATTTGGTAGTCCTCGGCAGTGTCGTGTCCATCAAATACAATCAGGATTGTCATGATATTGGAGCTCAAACCATCACTGATCCACCCGTGCTTCACTCTGAAGATTGGCCGCCAGGCATATAGATGTGAAACCTCCAACATTGGCCAGTGTTTCAGTTTCATTGTCCAACCCCTGTATAGCATAATAATAAAAAACTGACCAGACCAGCATCTATATACCATATCTAGTTAATTATAATGGGAGCAATTTTGAATTGAAAATTCAATTCAATTAACTATGTATGTAATATGTTTGCAATGCATGTATATAGACTACTGGTCAAAAGTTTTAGATTTGTGAGATTTTTTATGTTTTTAAAAGAAGTCTCTTCTGCTCACCAAGGCTGCAATTATTTGATTAAATAATACACACAAAAAACAGTAATATTGTGAAATATTATTACAATTTAAAACAGCGGTTTTCTATGTAAATATATAGTGACGTGTAATTTATTCCTGTGATCAAAGCTGAATTTACAGCATCATTACTCCAGACTTCAGTGTCACATGATCCTACAGAAATTATTATAATATGATGCTCAAGAAGCATTTATGATTATTATCCATGTTGAAAACAGTTTTTTTTTACATTTTTATTTTAATAGAAAGTTCAAAAGAACAGAATTGATCTGAAATGGAAAGCTTTTGTAACATTCAAAAGTTTGGGGTCAGTAAGAATTTATTTTGTATTTTTGAAAATACTTTTATTCATCAAGGATGAGTTAAACTGATCAAAAGTTACAGTAAAGACATTAATAATGTTAGAAAAGATTATATTTTAAATAAATGCTGTTCTTCTGAACTTTCTATTCATCGTAGAATTTTTTGGGGGAAAAAATGGTACACGACTGTTTTCAACATTGAAAATAATAATTTGTTTTTTGAGCATAAAATCAGCCTATTAGAATGATTTCTGAAGGATCATGTGACACTGAAAACTGATGTGTAATCGGCAACAGTAATGATGTTGAAAATTCAGCTTTCAAATTACATTTTAAAATAGAAAACACTCATTTTAAATTGTCATAATATTTCACAATATTACTGTTTGACTTTTTTTTTTTCATCAAAATAAAGCAGCCTTGGTGAGCAGAAGAGACTTCATTTAAAAACATAAAAAATCTTACCGATCTAAAACGTTTGACCGGTAGTGTGTAATATGCATGTATGTAATATGTATGTATGTAATATGCATGTATGCATTTAATATGCCTGTATGCATGTAATATGTATGCATGTTTGTATGTATAATATTAATTCGTAGCTTATAGCACTGCTGTATTGCTATTCCTACATTTTCCATTGAATCAATAGGAAATCATCTGATTTTAAATTACCAAAGCCACTATTTTATATCTGAAATCTCCCTGTACTACAGAAGGTTCTCCTCCATTGACAAAGCTTTAAAAACTAAGCAAAAGCAGCAGCCTTTCCAACGCATTCATCCAAATTCACTTATTTTCATTCCCATGTACATCAACTGGACTAAATAAGAGGACAAATTTAGAAAATCGTGAATGAGCATATACGGGCCGATTTCAGACTTAGTAATGCTTGTTAAATATCCAATTTTTTGTCGAATTTTTTGTATTGAATTTCCAGAATAACACTTAAAATGTATAGAGTAATCATTGTGATATGAATACTTTGGTCATACCACCCATCCCTATAGTCAATATAGCACATCATTTAACACGACTTTAAAGCAATTCAGAAATAGCAGGTAAGAAACGGAAGTGACAGAATGAGCAGAAAGGAACTTAAGACTAGATTACATAATAATAAAGAATAATAGTGACAAGAATGAACTTAAGATTGTACCTTGATGGGCTTCCTTTCAGATTTATGTGTCTAACATTACAGAGCTGGTTAGAGTATTGCGTTGGATTGAAGTGTTTTACCCCTCTCTCCAGCAGCATGTCCCTGAACTGGTTCATGCGGGCCTCCAGGGGCACCAGGGCCCGATCACGAGCGGCCTTCAGTTCGGCCTCCATGGCCGCGTCTTTCTCTGCGCCAGCCTCCTTCACATCGTCCTTCCTGTCAGAGAGAAGAGGAAGAGTGTAAGGAAGAACATTTCAGAGTTGTTACCTGTTTTGGCTTGTAGAGATGATTTTTCTCTTAACTTGAGAGAATTGATTCCTATCGAACTAATCTATTTACTAGAGCCGTCAATCGATTAGTAGTTCACTTTTAGTACTTAACACAATGCATTTGGTTCTATTTAAGGATAGAGAATATACTAAAACAGAATAAAACTGTTGTGATTAGTCAAATTTCATTAAAGTTAATAAGTTCAGATGCAAAAGCCTCTTAGTGCCATTTGAAATTTTCTTCTAGAATGATCATTTTTATCAAGCTTGTATATTTAAGTTCAGTGATTTCACTTATTACCTATTAATTGTTATTTAAGTGAAATTGCTGAACTTAAATATACAAGTTTGACAAAAATCATCATTAAAGAAGAAAATTTCAAATGGCATTTAGAGGCTTTTGCATCTGAACTCTTCATATATTAAAACAGAATGCATTACTTCGATAGCCCTACTAAAATTTTCTTGTATTTGAGAAGGTGTGTTTAAATTCGAGTTATTTTGCGTTTTGAAAAGAAGACTACAGTGTCAAGTACAAATATATTGCTATTTTTGCTTTCGGTTCTTGAAAACATTAATACACATCACTGAAGGGCTGAAGTTTTGATTTGTTCACTGGGGTTTGCCTAATGGAGGCTAGAGAGAGGTCAAACAAGGTGGGTTACCTTGGAGGCCCACGTTGGCATCGCCAGAGCTTAGAAGCGTTCCCTGAAAAATAGTCCCCAGTGCAACAGGACCACTGTTTGGGGTCAGGGGGAGGCAGGCGTGAAGGGCACTGATGGGAAACAGTGACTGATTTGATTTGGTAAACGTTATGGAGTCACCACTTTTCAAAGACCCAAACTAAAGATTACCACTGCTAAGACAAGTCAGCATTGGGTGCAAAAAAAAAAAAAGCGCCGACAATTTGTTTAACTGTGACATAAAACAGTCCATTCAACATGTTTTTGCTCAGGGCCTAAACGGAAGCAGCCTCATTTCCTTTTCTCATCATATGATTAGAAATAAAGTTTCAGCGATGCTTCTAGTTTCTTCTGTATAATACAAAAGTTAGGTGTTCAGCAGGGGCGAGTGCTCGGCCCCTTATGGTTTCCCGCTGAGAGCCGATGCTACTTACTTTCTCTTCTTGGCCTTCGAAGGCTCGTCGTCCAGTGTATCCTCTATGGCTGTTTCAATCTCCTCTTTGGTGAAACCTGCTGTTAGAAATAAAAGTGTGTGTTTTTTTGCCGTGTTACTGTAACCTAGACCAAGAATCAAAGTTTACAAGCTGAACATGTATGCAGTGTAAATCAGTGTGTTTTACCAATTTTCCTGTTGTCATCTAGGCCCCTTTTGTGGTGGGGCTCTTGAATGTATTTGTCCACATCAGCACGGCCCACCAGCTCCTCGGGTCGGTCCCACATGGACAGTCGTGTGGTGGGGTTGTAGTAAAACACACGGTCATCTCCAGTCCAGACCACACACCTAAAAACACAAATATTAAGAGTGTAACGATACACAAAACTGACGGCTCGGTTAGCTAAAATTGCTTTGTTTGTTTGTTTTTTAAAGTGGTTTAATGAAAAAATTGTCTTTAAATTAATTAAGATAACATTAAAGGTTGTAGCCTAGACTTTTAACCTAAATTCAGATGCTATTTATTTTGTAGATATAATAATCAACACACAACACATTGTATGAAAACATGTACACTGAACATAAGGCAGTTTTTGCATTTTTACTCTAATTTGTTATTTAAATATAATAATTTAAACCGTTGTCATTTTCATAAAAGATATTTTAAACATACATCAAATATTCAAGATATCATTAACAGGTTAAGGAAAATATAATATATAGGCATTTATTTAGTGCAAGAGTTTTCATAAATGCAATTGTCATTTTTTTGGTACACACTAGCTTATTCATAACAGTAAGGCCAACATATTCATACAAAAAGCTAAAAAACTTAAATTTTGATTTCAGGGGGCCTTTAAAGAGTTCACTGAATCACTGAAGAGATGGAAAAGGCTCACCAGGGAGTACCGGGAATCGGGTTTGTGGCAACAGGTTTGGCCTTCTGTGCTGCTTTTTCCTCCTCGGTCATATCTTCTTCCCTGGGCAACTACAACATCAAAACATTATCAATAATGTTTCCTAAAACCTCAAAGCAAGTCTAAATCACTTTCACACTTACCTCTTTAGAAATGCCAAAGTCAGATTTGACTTCCATGTCTATATCCTTTAAAAGTGAATCAGCATGGTTATGGCCATGTTTAGCCTTGTCACTGTTCTTATCTGTTCAGACAAATAAAGCAATATATTTCTGAAAATAACTTTGACTCGCTGCGTTGAATGGACAAATGTTCATAGTCAAGTTGAACTATAGACCATTTTGCAAGATGTAAACAACACTGGTCCAGAAGCACTTCCTGTTTCAGTTTGTAACTGTTTTCTTTATTCCACATGTAAAGAAAACATCTTAAAGATGTTTGTTTTACTTTTTGATTCAGTTTTAAATGTTCTGTTGGTTGTATTTTATCCCAGCTTTTATGTAGTGTTAAAAAACTGAAACAGGAAGTGCTTCTGGACCAATGTTGTTTACATCTTGCAAAATGGTCTATTGTCAAGTTAACAAAACAAAAAGACACGAGGCTTACCTCTCTCTTTTAGCTCAGCAGGTTTTTCCCAGGTGGACTCCAGTGTGCGATTGTTGTAATAGTAGATCCTCCCGTCAGCCGTCTTGTACTCAGACCATTCAGGAAGTGAAAGAGTCCCCATTAGATGTGCAGGAGCGATAGCTAGCTGGTGATGCATCATGGGTACAAGAGGTGGGGCCATCCCTGGCATCCCTGCAAATGAAAAATGTGCATTCAGCAGATCAAACCCCAAGAAAATATTACAGGGTTTCCACATCTTTTGAATTTTCATAATGAATGGTTAGAATAATGTTATTGAGATTTCTGGGGTGGATTTTCAGCCTAGATGATAATCCTTGGAATTCTAAAAGGATGTTTCTTTTATAAATAAATAATAAATGGTTACTTTGTTTACGCATACACACACTCACACACTTAGATCAAACACTTAAATCACTCTTGTCACTTGTGGAATTATGGATTTACAAGGTTGCTCACTACTGGACTATGTTGGTTTGTATTCTGACTGTTAAATAAAAAATAAATAAATAAATAAAAAAAATAAAAGGATGTTTCTAGATCTAAATAGGCCCTGAAAACTCCATTACATTTTAAAGCAGAAAATTAGAAATTTCCTTGATTTAAGATTATTAATCTCCATGAGTTTTTAATGATTGGAAATCATCATTTTAAAATGTGCTCATATATGTTGTGTGCAACACTGTAGGCAGCCTATCAACACCACTTTGTAAGAGGAGGGCGCCATCTACTGGTTATTGAGTAAATCAAGTCCACTAATGGAGTTTAGTTTCTATTGCGGTCTACACCAACTCAAATACCAAAAAAGCACCATATACAACACAGGCTAAAAGGCCAGGCTAAAAGAAAAATATAGTGCAACGTTATTACATTGCTCAACGAGGTTGCCATAGACATTGACAGAATCTCTTGTTCGAGACCGGCAAGTCAGAGCTGAATGATCTTTCTGGCATGGATACACCTTTTCTGCAGTGGAAATGCACAGAACTTTCAAGAAGAAATTCATTTCCACGTACCTGGCAGTGGGATGTGCATGCCAGGAAGAGGCACTCTGAATGGTGGTACCATGACTGGGGGGAATGCTGGGATAGCAGCAGCTGGCTGGCCCACAGACAGGCCAGGAGGGAGACTCTGATGCAACAGTGGCATGGTCTGCACTGCTGTGACTGTAGCGGTTACTGTAGGAACACTGACCACAGCAACAGGGGTCACTGCTACACTAGCAGGAGGAGTAGAGGCCACTGGAGGCATCTCAGAAACAGACGCTACAACAACAAAGCAAAGGGATATCAACAAAACATTAAAGATTGATCATATTTGTCATGAGTACTACCAATCTTTTAAATCAGGGGTTTACAAACTTGTTTTCTGAGTTCATTTAGAATTATTCAGCCTTTACGAACGAGCAGAAGCCATTGCTGGTTTCTTCAGTAGTGGGAGGAACTAATGCGCAAACGCTTGCCTATTACCGTCTCCGTTTTGATTTCAGCAAATCAGTTTTAGCGAACGCAGGCATGATTAATACTCATTAACCCAGCAGCTCATAAGACCTTAGCGGTTTTTATATTGTTATTAGTAGTAATATTATCTTAACAGAATTAGTTAGTTTTGTTTACAAACACTGAATGACCAACGTTTCAAGCACCAGCAGCCCCAAGTTCTGTTAAAATGACAAATATGCAGTTTTGTTCATAAATGGTATCACGTTTTAGTTCTAAAAGCTTAAGTTAAAATCTATTAAATAAAAAAAAAAGTGTAGCTGTTTTGCGTCCAGATTAGATCACATATGAAAGCATGTTAATGAATAAAGCAATTTCCGAAGATAAGCTGATTTGATGGAGATATACATATAGGAATATACTTGTATGTGTATATATATATATATATATGTAAAAATTAGGGCTGTGCAAAAATTAAAATCTGAATAAAAAATAAAAGTCTGTGTTTACATAATATATTTGTATATATAAATACCTATGCATGCATGTATATATTTAAGAATTATTTGTGCTTAAATTCTGTATATATATATATATATATATATATATAAATACATAATCTATATTATATAAATATAAATACTTTATATATGAATAACACATTTTCTTAAATATATACATGCATGTGTGTGTATTTATATATACCAAATAATTATATACAGCACACACAAATATATTATGTAAACACAGACTTTTATTTTGGATGCGATTAATCGCAATTAATTTTTGCACAGCCCTAGTAAAAATATATATTAGTCTGGCGATTAAACAAACATTTACTAGTTAGTTCTAATATTCACCAAATTTAGTAGTTAGCTAGTAGTAATTTTAGTTCTACAATGCCTTAGTTACCCTCCTGACACTCTTTTATAGTCCTTTCTTCTGGCGTTGTTAGCATTTTGCTGATTTGTCTTATTTGTAACATGTATAAGTCTAGTATGCATTTAAATGTATTTCATTTTTTTTTTTTTTTTAAGTTTTTAAGTTTTTTTTAAGAAAGGCGTCGGCCAAATAAAAAGTATTATCATTATTAGTTAATTTATCAAGATGTGCATCGAGGGTTGTCTTACATTAAAATTAAGATGGCATTTCAAGTTTTAGTTTGATTAATTATACAGACACATTTATTTTAATTTAATTTAATTAAACCCCCAGCAGTTCCCCCAAGTTGAGAACAACAGGCTATAACATGATTCATAGCTCCTCCTCTGTGTTAAATACTCACCGGTGGAGGTTTGAGAGGCACTGGGGGCCGGACTGGTGCTGGGGTCGGGACTGGAGCTGAGGGTGTTTGAGGGGGACATGCTCTGGGTGGAGACCGGCTCGGTCACAGCCGTAGCAGCGCTGCTAGCTGCAGTAGAAGCAGGAGCGGCTGCAGCTCCTCCAGACTGAGCCGCCATTAGAGGATTGAGCTCTGACTGCTGGATGATCTTCACTCCCTCTGGTTTGGTCCAGGCTGACTCGCGTGTCCGGGAATTATAGAAATAAACCTGGAAGAGCATAGTAGAGAGGTTTCAAATGTCCTAGAACGCTAATTCTAGGACTGGGTCAGGATGGTTGACTAGTTGTCCAACCATTCAGATTAACAAGCAAGTGCTATAAAAGGTTTTTAATAAAAGTAAATACCCCATAATTTCCGGAAGATAAGTAGTTTTTTTTAATCTGAGACGTGCTGCAACTTATATAATGTAATTAAAGTCAAGCACGCAAAACATGCACGAAGCGCATGCGTTTGGATTCGTGCCAAATAAGAGGTTTTTTTAGGCTTGCCGTAATGAAATAAATGTTTTTTGTAATGAAAATGTTTGTTTATTTTATATTTTTATATACCATCAAACTTGTTCGTAAATGTTTTATTTTTACATCATTTCTAAATGTAATACAATGTGGTCGATGCAACGAGCACTTTTTCACACACGGTTGTGTGCACGTCAGTAATAATCAATAATAATCAACATTTTGATTGGAAAAAAATTCTTTCTGAAAGATGTGTGTGTATTAGGGATGCACTGATACCAGCATCGGACCTGATACTGGGCTTGTGTATTTGTAAATGCTCGGATAACAAAAAAACAATACCACGCAGCATTTGTACAGTACAGTGTTTTTGTCCAGACAAACACAGACAAAAGAACAAGCAGAGCTATGAAGATTTAAGATGTCTGTGACGTGACGTAAGAGTCATGGAGGCAAAGAACCGCCCGACGCGAAGTGAATTAAAATTGTTTAATGCACAACTAGCCATCGATTATAACACTTATACCATGGTAATTTGACAGAATTGACAACTTAAACAACGGTTATTGATGTTTGCAGTGCAATATTTATCAGGAAGGGTAAAATTGTCCCATTTTCATTGTTAGTTTTAGCATTACACAGAGAAAAAGTAGATCAGGAGATAAAGTAGTGCGGTAAGATTACATTTTGAATTAATGAATTAGCGCATTTATTATGAATTAATTAATCGAGAGAGATGAGATATGCATTCCTGTGTCAGTTCAGAGTTTAATTAAAAAAAGCGATGTAACCCCCTGAGAAATATAATCTAGCGATTCAGAAGTGAAGCTATTTTATTACTAAAAGTTGCGGGGCACCGTTGATAAGTTTCTGTGCTCCGGTTTGTGCTAGGGTGACCATATTTGGATTACCAAAAACCAGGACACTCGGCCCGGCAAACAGATGGGCCTACTCAAATGATAATCGAAGTTTACTCAAAGATACCATATTAATTTCAATATGTATGGATAGAAAACGGTTATATTGTTATATGAAAACAGGACATGTCCTGGGAAAACAGGACAGTTGGTCACCCTAGTTTCACCCTAGACTCTCTTGCGTTCGAATAACGTCATGTACTTATTTTTAAATTAGTCGGTGTTCTACAGGTTGTATATGTCGATTCACCAAAGGTTTTGCTACTTGCTTTTATCTCTTTTTACTTTATTTATTTTATTTTATTTGAACTATTTTATTGTACTGGAAAGCACTTTGGATCAACTACGGTTGTGTTAAACTTGTGCTCTATAAATAAAGTTTGACTTGACTAGTTTGTGCGATCTCTGTATGGGAGTGGCTTTAATGAAAACAGCGCATTAATATAGACCTTTAATTAAAGTGACCTGGGGTCATTCGTATTAAAAGGTTCCAGCAAATCAGTAATGAGTATTAAGACAGACCATGGTATACATGTACGCAATTAATAAAACGTTAATCATAAATGCAATTGTTATGCCTGTGTGGCTACTGATAAGTGAAGCACGCTAAGTGGATTGAGCACACAGCGGCATTTGAATAGCATAGAAAGTAAAACGATGCACATATTACCAGTGTTACTTGATGGTAGTGAGAGAGAGAGAGAGAGAGAGAGAGAGAGAGAGAGAGAGAGAGAGAGAGAGAGAGAGAGAGACGCAGACACTTCTGTTGCATGCAATTGATTTCTGATCTGAGCTTACTCAGCACACACACTTCTGTTGGATTAAAACTAAACTGCAGCCTAAGTAAAAAAACATGAACTGTTACATATTTTTGTATAAGTGGTTCCCTACATTATCAGAGGAAAATGTCATGTGATTACTGTGCCACTGCACTGGAGTGGCTCTAAATGTGCGCTGTAGATGAAATATAGAACAGAAAGAGAAGCTTGTACAATACATTTAAACAGGCATGAAAATATCGATTTGCTCAACGAATTAAGCCAACTGATATGATTATATTCCTTTGGTTTTTCCACACAATATGAAATAAAAGATTACATTTAAAATTCTATAATTATTCAATTTAAATATCATATTTACAACAGGGCGAGTAACATTCAGTACCTTTCCTTCAGGTGTGGAGTTCTCTACCCAGATATCATCACTAGACAAACTTGAAGTCGTTCCTGGTGATGGAGGCATTCCAGGTGGAAAGATCATCCCGGGAGGAGGAGGCATGCTTCCCATGGGTGGGGGCATAAACGGTGGCCTCTGTGAAAAAGACAATCTTAGAGACTGAGAGAATTCGGACACCATCAGAGATTGAAAGTAACATTAAGTGCACATATAACATCGTATTTTTTGTAATAATTCCTATTTCCTACCTGCAGGTGTGGGGGTCCAATGGGTGGGGGCATAGCTCCGGGTGGGGGCATAGGTGGCATACTGGTGTCAAACGGTGGTCTACCAAAAGGGGGTGGCGGGGGTCCTCTCATCATGCCGAAGGGCGGAGGTGGGGGTCGTAGTAATGGAGGAGGTCCTCGCAAAACTGCGCTGGGTGGTGGAGCAGGGCTACGAAAACGTAACACCATACTGAGGAGAGAAAAAAAATCAGTAACTATCAATATTTCTGGTATGCAAAACCACCACCAAGACAGTACACTAAAAGCTCTAAAACAAAATTGTTGTCAAGGGAAATAATCTAAATAAGTTCCTAGATATATGACACCCCCTTTGCGGCAGCGGTCCTGCCTTTTGTTCACACCGGGACTGATCCCAGCAACGTTACTAGGTCCTCATCTCGGGATGTGTGTGTGTTCACACAGAAGGCACTCTAGCTATTCTATGGCAATTTCTGGAATCAAACACTGTGTAAAAGGGGCTTAAGATACAAGTAATAATTATTTCTCTTCATAAAGACAAGAGTATTGGTGTATTTTTGTGTATCATTGTGTATACAATAAGAGAATAACTATTAGTTGCACACAATACGTTTTTTTGTTGTTGTACGTGTCCACAGTATTATCTTTCACCAGGGATGTACAAGTATGAATAAATATATGTCTTCTGTTCTTGGTTGTCAGGTTGTTGATGTTTATTTGTGCACAGTGGCTAGGATAATTTTTTACCATTAAGTTAGTGGGCTGAAGACTTGGGCATTTCATAGATAGATAGATAAGGTATCGTAAATTAAGTTTTTGATCAACCCCTACAGATATTAAAATGAATCTCATCGGTTTTCTCTATTCAGTGCTAATTTTAACACAAATTAAATATAAACAAAAATAAGAATGGCGGAAAAAAGAACCACTAGTACACAAACAAGACAAGCAGGTGGGCTAAAGTCAGCATGCAGAGCAGACATTGCTAACACGTCAGCTGCAAACACAACATTAATTGCTAACAGGAAATATCCTCGTTTTAATTAACGTTAGTGCGTTATTCTAAAGCGAACGGTTTTGCTTAGCTTGCGTTTTAAAGTTTGAACTATTCACGCGGATAAATAAAAAAACAGAGTACGTTTAAGAAGCTAGCATAAATGCTAACTGCGCTAAACTGCGCCAGCGGACTTTTCCACCACTCACACTATAACACAGGCTGGCTATATGGCTAAGATATGAATAAGCACCGATTTCTGCGTGAATATACATCTAGCGTGACCCTTCTGGATGTTATAATGTAGTTATCTGACCTGTTCTCCGCCAATCCAGCGCTCTCTCCTTCTATGTTCTCCGCCATCGCTCCAGAAACTAAACAAACACACTTCAGCTAAACTTCCTGTTGGCGAAGCACTTCCTCACACTTTCCTCTACGTCATTGGCTGGATTGACATTATTAAAGGAGTAGTTCACTTTTAAAAATAACTTTTGCTGATAATCTACTTACCCACATGTCATCCAAGATGTCCATGTCTTTCTTTCTTCAGGCGAAAAGAAATTAAGGTTTTTGATGAAAACATTACAGGATTTTCTCCATATAATGGACTTCAATGGGAACCAAACGGTTCAATGTCCAAATTAGCTTCAGTGCAGCTTCAAATGGCTTTATTGACACCAGATGAATAAGGGTATATATTATATATTTATATTATTATATATTTTTTTCCCTACTGGAAGTCAATGGGTGCCGTAACTGTCTACCAACATTCTTCACAAGAGCTTTAAACTTTTTTCAAATAGTTTTTAGTTTGGGAAACACTGGCATAATGTAATACGTAATGCATTTTATGTTGCAATATTTTATTCTCTCTCTCTCTAATATAGCTAGCTATCAATATGGTACACAATAATCCCATTCAGATCAGTGATAAACAAGTTTGGTCAAGTTACCAAAAAGTAGTCTGAATACATTACCTAAAATGAGAAATCTAGATTACAAATACAACTTGCATCATATAATTTGTAATCAGCAACGGACAACAATTTGCAAATAATCTGCCCAGCATTGCTTGTGGTTAGCTAACAAATCCCACTATCTTTCGTCAGTTTCAGTAGTGCTATGATTAAACTGTTATGTTTTGTGTGTGTGTGTGTGTGTGTGTGTGTGTGTGTGTGTGTGTGACTAGGACAAAAGATATGAAATGCAAATCTAGGATGATGGGTTCATCTTTAAATCTCACAGTGGACTTTCCCTCAGACTTTGACCGAAGATCGAGACTCGAGAGCAGCATAACAAACATTGGGCACTTTGCAGCAAGGAGGACGCCACGAATACTTTGCTGGTCGCAGGTCTATAGATGGAGGTCGCCAAGGGAACTGCATTTGAACCAGTTTACAGTACTGGTCTGCTGCTTTCCTTTACATGTTTTGACCACCTGAGAAAAGGAAACTTTTCACAAAATTCAAAACTGTAATTTAAATGTTAAAAGAGACTAAACAGAAATTTTTCCTAAATGTTCCATTTGTGAAGTTAAGCGTATTGATGTTAAATGTAAAGCAGTCTTTCTACACATCAATTCGCTCATATTTCATCTCAAGCAGTCAGATTCAGCAATACATTTATTTACAATGGCCTTTCATATTATTAAAAGTCTGATTTGGGTAGTAGAGTAAAATAATTAAATCTGTGATACGGCATTTATACATGATTACAATTCACAGCGTGATCCGTTTCATAACAGATAATGCATGTTTCCCATTCCCTTCCATTGTCCATGAACATGCAGACACTCTTGAACGCAGGATATTCAAAACATTTTTATTTTTACAGAACTTTAAAATCAATCAACAATCAATTACTAAGAATATGAAAATAGACACACACTCTCTGCGGTCCCATAGAGAGAACAAACTGGAACCCAGAAGTCTAGAACTAATGAACAGAATTTAATGGGGGGAATATTCAGGATTCAGCGTCTCATGCCTCTGGTCTTCATAGCGTCTCAAACTTCTGACATGGCTAGAATAGTTTGCATGCAGGATGGATCTGTAAGAAAAATAAAATTTTGTTTTCAACACATGAAAAGTAGCATTATAAATCTTTTCTATTATAACATGTTAATTTGAGAATTTATATTTACAAAAAAAAAAAAAAAAAAAGCACATTACAATATAGGGAGGGGTTTTGAAAGCTCACTCTGGGTAGAACTGCGGTCCAGTCATGTGGAGGTTTGCGTAAGGAGGAGTGGAGTGAAGACTGTTGGTGACACCTTGTTGCATCTCCATGCCTTGGTTTAAGTTGGCAGACAAAATTATTGTACATTTTTTTTTAGGGTGAAAAAGTAATTTGGCTTCATATCATGTTTAACCAGGATATTAACAATGTTCCAAATAATTCAATTCCTGGAGGATTAAAAAAAACAAAACACACCTTTAAAATATCCGTAAGCTTAATAAAGTAGTGTTAATGGTGCGTTCATGTGCTATGGAAAATATGATATTTTCAACTTGTGAACTGGTATTTACCAGTGTGTTGCGTTTGTTGTCGCAATGTGGTAAAACGATGGAGATCCAGACCTGTTATTTAGCTAAAACTATTTTAGATTTCTGAAGTCATCTGTTATGCAAGAAAATTATTTATCAAAACTCAAAAGGTAAATAATATACAGTATATATTTTTTTTATCATGAATAGTACATATTTTTACCATTCACGATTCTCGCGTTACTCACCGCCATTTTGAAAAGGTCAAAGGTTCTCATCTCGGCAACTCGTGCATCAAAATATTCTACGAGTTACCCAGTGGAAAATACCACATGAGGGGGTGTTCATGTGCATTTTCCACGTCGGCTTTTGGTATTTACCATAATTACCATAGCACATGAACGCACCATTAGTGTTATTAGTGTTTTTATCATGTCTGAACTATCAGCTCAGAGACACTATAACTTGGCAAAACTTGGAAAAAATAAAACAGGTTATTACATACAGGGTTCCCAATCTTCTTCTTATGATTCAAGGACTTTTTAAAGCACCTTTTATTTTATAGCAAGCACAATAAAGACAATAATTATTATTACTGCCGATCTGGAGTCAGTATCAAAGACCTACAGTACCTGTGTGTCTATCATTACTGCAGTGATGTTACTCACTAAAATCTAATTTAGAGTTTTTTTTAAAGTCTATAACTTAGAATGTCAGTAACCCCATTGACTTCCATAGTATTTTTTTTTCCTACTATGGAAGTCAATGGGGTCCATCAACTGTTTGGTTACCGACATGTAATATTTAAAGAAGTTAAACCTGGAAGAATTAGACGACTACCTCTGATGACTCTGACTGATGGGTAAGGGTTGAAACTCTGTGCCCACATCAGAGTGAAGAGTGAGGAGATTTGGGTTGCCGCAGGGACCGTTGGTCCTCTGGGGACAGAACGCTTCTTTGGCTGATAGGCCCAATCTGTATTAATTCAGAAAAATGAGAAAAAGAAATCTGCGATTTCAAAAGTACGGAAGCGTATTGCATTCACTTGAGGAAACAAAATCTACTGTTTTTCTGAATTAACGAGTTTATCATCTCAGAATTACGAGATATATTTTTCTTGAAAAAAATTGTTTTCACTCTGTTTTTATGCATTAAGGAGTTACTCCTAATTTTTGAGATATTCAAGTCATTAATTCAGAAAAATTCTCATAATTCTGAGATAAATAACTCGTTCAAGTGAATGCAATACGCTAGCGTACAAGTACAAGAGATTCAATGTATGCATTTTAAAGTGCCCCATTATGTACCTTTCATGTAGCATGTAATATATCGGTTTGAAAATGAAAAAAAAAAAAACTACAAAGTCTCAAAGATCAAAGTACATGATAAATTAAGTCCACACACTGCACATTTTGTACTTTTCTCTCTTCTGTTCTGACACACTCAGTTCAGTGTATGGATCTCTCAAGCTGATGCGTGTTAAATAAGGGAGAAATAAAAAAAAAAATATGCAGATCAGTGGATCCTCAGGACTAAGATTGAAAACCACTGCTTTATCCATCAAACCGTTTCAGACATTGTGAGAAAGAAGTTGAAGCTGCAGAATGTATTATGAGAAAATTAAAGTGTTTAACCTTGGATGCATGTAAACCTATTGTAGGAGACCTCCAAAACAAATGTCTTCGAATATTTCTGCATAGATTACCTGGGTACTTTCGCGTGTGTTCTGCCTTGATTTTATGTGCTTCCACGAAGTATGGCTCCTTCTGCTCTTCAGACAGTTTGCTCCATTCTAACCCCAGCTGGACACTGATGTCACGCTGACTGGCGGTAGGGTTAGCCTTACTCAGGATGGGTCGGTGAATCTTTGCCCATAATATGAAGGCATTCATGGGCCTTTTGATGGACGCTTTTTTGTTCCGAGATCTTTCCACCTTTTTTTCTGCTCACAAAAACAGTTCAAATGTAATGCTGCATCTGCATGCATGCACAGACTTGGGTCATAAAGTAAATGTGTCACTTAACAAATTATTATGGTTATCTTGAACCATAAAAAGAAGAATAAATGTAACGTATCTTTACAGCTATACTTAAATTAATGCTTGAAATACTTCGAACAAATAAATAAAGACACACATTGTGTTTTCGTGTAGTAGGCTATGGGGACTTTACATAGATGTAATGGTTTTTATACTGTACAAACTCTATATTCTATCCTTACACTAGCTAAACATGGATGTAAAGGAAGAAAATGGCGCTTTTTAAAAAAAAAAAAAAGTTCTGTTCCAGAGCAAATATCCATCCATCCATCCATCCATCCATCCATCCATCCATCCATCCATCCATCATCTACCTACCTGCTCCTGAAGTCGCCTGAGTAACGTTCAGTCCATCGATATTGTCTTGCATTGAAGTTTCGTTGATTGGCTCACGGTTGTTTATAGGCGCCTCGCTAATTGGTTGATGGTTTACTGTCGTAAATTGCGCCTCGCTGATTGGCTGATAGTATAGCGTTGGAAAAGGCGCCACGATAACTGGCAGATGGTTTACCATCGGGAAATACGAATGGCTGATTCGCTGATTGTTTACCACCTGAAAAGATGGCACGTCGAATGGCTGATGGGTTTCTGTAGGAAAAGGCGCCACGCTGATTGGCTGATAGTTTGTTTCTGGGAAAATCGCCTCACTGGACATATTACAATTAAATGACGGATGTATGTTTTTAAGTGAAAGAACCTCCGAAATGTTTAACGAGGAAAGTGCGTGATCTCCCATTTCCGGTGAATCTTGAACCGAGGGATGAAGTGGAGATATCATGTCAGCGATTCCCTGTTCAATACCAACGTCAACTGTCACCGACCTGTTGACTGAATTGTAATCTTCATGCGGTGGTTGATCAAGTCTTCGAGTCGTCAAACTGTTGACTTCAGTTCGGTTACCGGCTTCGACAGAACTATAAGCTGTAAAAACACAATTTTCTTCTGTTTCGGCACACTTGGGTTCGGCTTCTTCAGTTGTTGAACCTTCTTCAGCTTCTCTGAACATCAGCCTCGCTCTCATTTTGGGGTGTCTGTCCATTAGTACAGAGTACAGTAACTTAACTCAACAGTAACGGCCGTGAAATATGTTACAAATTACTCTCCTGCATCCTTTAAGAAATCAAAAACAAACATGGTTTCTAAACGTCAGATAATCGATTCGATTCTCGCGAGTGTGACGTCATCTGACAAAGACCATTTCGTAAATTCTCATTTATCTTTATTCTAATTAACATTTGTCCAAAATTGTATTTGGGTAAATTGTATTGTTGGGTCGCATTAACCAAGAATTAAAAAAAAAAATGATGTAACAATTATTATTATTATTATAACAATAAATATAGATTATTATAATATTAATAACCGTTATTTGGGTAAAGTCAGGTGAGCCACTTTCAAAGTTCCACATACCTTCTTAAAGGGATAGTTTAACCAAAAATGAACATTTTGTCATTTACTTGCCTCAATTTTTTTTTTTTTTTTACTTTTGAACACACACACAAATATTTTAAAGATGGATGGAAATCAAAAAGTTGACGGTAGCCATTGACTTAGTGGGGAAATGTGGAAGTCAATGGGTGCCGTCTTTGGTTATCATTATTCTTCAAAATAACTTTTGTTTTCAATATAAGAAAGAAACTCATACAGGTTTGGAACAACTTGAGCGGGAGTAATTGATGATCATTTTCGTTTTTGGGTAAACTAACTCTCTAAAGCCAAGTGCATATGCGTTTCTTGTTTTTATACTTGACAAATCCGGCTTTATGGCTCATATACCATATGATAAAGGAGCTATTCATAAAAAAAAGCTCATTAGTTTTTATTGTGGGGGCAAAACATAATCCTGTGCAATTCAATAATGATTCCTCAAAAGCCAGATGGATCAAATTTGATACATAGCCTACTGTATTTTAGCATTATTATTTTTTTAAATGATGGATGGATAATCAAGTAAACTAAGTTGCTTCAGTCCAGTAAATGTTCATTTTGAAATATTAATACTATAAACGACCATCTATCAAAGTAGAAGACATGTTTAAGATTTTATACAACAGGTTATTTCAGCAAAGTTTTGTTCAATTTGAAATTTATAGAACATAAAAATGCATGCATCATATGATACAGAGGCTTATGACTAACCTTGATGTCGACACTGGAGGGAGCCACAGGACACAAGACATCTGAGAGATTCTCTACTGTCCCGAATCAAAGACACCTTCATAGAAAAGCTGTTTTTTTTTATTTATTATAAATTAGTGAAACACATTTGGTTTCAATAGAGGCACTAATCACCTCAGTATAGGGAATTCTCCATCACTGTTTAAGACAGAGGACCAAGAAACCTACTTTCATGAACAATATTAATTGTCAACTAATAAAAGTGGTCCTCTCTCCTACTGACCGCTAAAAGGATGGACACCTACTACAACACCATTAAAGTCGCAAAGACCGTTTTTGATGAAATCGTTTAATGTTAAACAAAATCTTTTGAGTACAATAAAATCAAAAAAATTCAATCTGAAAAGAAACTATAATGAAAGAGGCGCTCGATCTTCCGTTTCTCTTTACATTTGCATAAACTAAAAAAGTGTTTACTGAATTTACCCATGTCTAGAACAATGTATTTAAGCACATGATCTCTCTCTCTCTGTATAATGTTAAGTATTAAAATAAGAAACTAAACCCCTACGGAATAAATCTAAATAGTAATAAAATAAAGATTTGGTCATTTTGAACATAATGCCTCGGTGCCTGTTGGAGGACCCCTTGTTTGTTTATGTGTAAAGCAGCATATGGGAAAATGGACAAAACCAATTTTTTTTTTTTATAAAAAAAAAAAAAGGGCGCCAGTAAACTTAATTTAGGGTTCACAATACCTTCATCGATTCCATAGCCACCATAGACATTTCATAAATATAACTGACCCGCAACAATGCTTAAAACTGTAAAATCGACATGCAAAAGGACAATGGATATGACTGTTATTCAAGTAGTTAATAGAAATGTGTAACACCACTCCTGCTACCATCGAAGCACACGTTTCGCAAACTCGATTGGAAGAGACTCCTAAAAATCATTCAAGAATGTAATGGCTTACGCTATTCATGTAACAGTTTCGGATCCATCGAGTACAGTTAATAACCTTCATACAAATTCGTATCATTAAAAAGGTGGCCATTTTCACAGGCAGGCACACTTCAAATTTCGCTCAGGCAGCTTGCTACACGAAACTATATCAGATATAGTCTGTTAAAAAACAAACAAACAAAAACAATCATCTAAATAACAGATGTTGGAGTGATAACGGAATATAATGACGGTATATCAGACAAACCGTAACGATTCAAATCGTTAACAAAAACAATAGTAAATATTAAGGACCCGCGGTAGTTTGTCCCGTCTTCTACCATCTGAGAAGTGAGTAAAATAATTTACTTTTTGCACACCGAGATATTTACAAAGTCAACCCTTCACGGCCTTTAAATCACAGCATGAGTGATGCAAAATATGAGGTAATTTCTGAAATCAGATGTATTTGAAATGGTGAACAGGGGAGGTTTCTGTTATGAAAATGTACCAAACTGCACACAGCCATCTTTTTTTTTCTTTTAAAAGTATACAATATGCCATTTACAAAAGAAACCCCACATGAAATAAAAGCAGATTCTTGAGTGTGTGTGTGTTTCTCTGTATCTGTTAACGTATAGGGGCAAATGATTGCAGAGTTGTGACACTGGCTAGTTTTGTCCATTTTACTGAATGCAGCTCCTTCTTTTGAGAAGGTGTATTTGGACCGGTAACCCTCTGGGAGTGGATCAGCCTTCATTTCCCAAAGTTGCCAAAGTTTGCAAAGGCATCTTGTTTGGGTTGCACCATGGCGGGGTTCATGCTCTGGCCAATGCTCATGCTGGGCACACCTATTCCAGCAGGCACCATATTCATGCCTATTAGTCCTTGATTGACAGGCATTCCTCCAAGACCCACAGAGCCCATTCCCATGGTGCCTGTTGCCATAGTAGGAGGCATTCCCATGCCCATGGTCCCTCCGGCCATCATGGGGGTCACTCCTGCTCTGGGAGTCGCTGCTGACGGCTGGGCATTGAGTGTCATTCCCGCCAAATTCTGGGTGACCATGTTCAAGGGTGGCTGAACACCTAAATGAGAAACATTTTAAATTACAGTTCTTGACAAATAAATAATACATGCAACTGTGAATTGACCTATGGCTAAGGCACGCCCTCAAACGCAATGAGCCAATCACGGTGCGCAGCTAACCCAACGCACTCGGACATTCTCTGCTTCCACGTCCATTGAAATGCATTGTCAGTTTTCATTCATTTTTCTTGTCATTTTAAAATGGTCAAATGGTGTGTATGGGGTCATGACACTAGGTTCCCCAGAGGCTGGGCGACAGTGTGTATTTTTTACCCTTTCCCAACCGAGATAAGCGTCTGCTCCGGATTAAGTTATGCGGTTGACCACAACAACAACTAAACGTGGATAAATTAAACAAGGATGTCTACATCAAGAGTTCAGATGCAAAAGCCTCTAAGTGCCATTTGAAATTTTCTTCTAGAATGATCATTTTTATCAAGCTTGTATATTTAAGTTCAGTGATTTCACTTAAATGGCAATAAGGATTACCTATTAATTGTTATTTAAGTGAAATTACTGAATTTAAATATACAAGTTTGATAAAAATCATCATTTAAGAAGAAAATTTCAAATGGCATTTAGAGGCTTTTGCATCTGAACTCTTCATCTGTTCTAAGTTAAGTCAACAACGTATTTGAACGTTATCTTTAAAATCTCTAGCCTAACATTAGAAAACGCTAACGTTAGCTTCAAAGCAAGACAATCTGGTTTGAATCACAGATAATTGTCCAGCAATCGGATTTCTAACCTTGCTGTATCATGGTATTGAGTGTGGGCTGTGTGGGCTTGGGAGGATTCAGGCCTGCAGACAGGAAATCCAGGCTGATGTTGACGCTCGGGTCCGACCAGGTGGGCGGCATTGATATCTTCCCCCCTGACTTCTGTAGTCCCATCTGCTGAGTCAATAACGGACCCCCTATTGTCTGACAAAGAAAGAGCATCAAGTAAATTACTGCAATATTTATTTATTTGTTTTAATAATGTTTAATCAAAATGTCATAATTAAACGTTCTGGTTGAAAACGCCAGACTTCCCTCTAGTGATGTAAGCACAGTGTTGGGGAAAGTTCCTAATACAATTAATGCAATTTATGCCTAAATTAATAACTAAAAAAGTTAATGTTACACAAATATACTTTTATGCATTTAATTTCTCTTTATTAACCAATGTCTTTGCTGCTGACATTCTGATGATCCAATTTAACCATACTAATAAGTAAAAATGAATTTAGATAAACAGTTTTTATTGCCGTGTCCTATTTTTCTGTAATTCAGAATGGCGAAACCCTCTACTGTACAGGAGGGAATTTGCATGTCCTTAAACTTGGTTTATTCATTTCACTGTTAGTGTGAAAGGGCCTTTACATTTGCCAGAAATACAACTTTTTTGTTGTTATCATAAAACAAACATGCAAGCCCAGGCAGCCCAGGTTAGAAAAAGTACCGCAAAAATAATGTAATGTCCACTACAAGTTATGTCACACAGTAGGATCTCAACATCTCAATATCAGACTGTATGACAGTCAAGAGAGGTAAACTTGCGTTTGGTGACAGTGAGCTGCGTTTGCATGTGGGATTGAAATGGCTGCTAGCAAACTTGTCTTTAGAGGAAAAACTGAAAAATAAAATGCAGAAATATGTGTGGAGGAAGTGGTGGTTTGTTGTTGTCACACTAATAGAGTGCCGAAGTTACGACGTCACTCTGTAGGCCAAAACGCGGAAGTGAGCTAGCATTTTAGCATTACGGTTCCCTCGCTCTAAAGCCTATGGGATTTTTGAATGGGTTTTTGCTAAATGGCCTGAAATAAGGTCTGTGGTGAACAAAACCTCTAAATATTTTCACGTTTTGATCTCTGACACAGAACACACAGTTATATAACCTGTTTGTGGTTTTTTAAACTTTATTGTGTCTGATTGTGTTTTTAAAATCTTTATATAGGCTTCAAAATGTATACATTTTGGATTAACTTGTAAAGATTATCTTGCTAGACAAAACGTGTAAGGGTCACAACTCTTTGTTAAACACAGATCTTATTTTTTGCGATTTTCCAAAAGTCTATGGGGAAAATGCATTGCTTTGACCGAGGGAACCCATGCGCCGCTAGCTTCCGACTTGTCCTACAAAGTGACGTCATCACTTCGGCACTCTATTGAGTCATCATTAAGTCATGAACTGATTTGACTGGTGTCGTAGGAGAAGCCACACTGCAGGATTGTGTTTCAAAACTTCTGACACAGGCAGCATTTCCTCGTAGGTAAAATCTGAGCGCAAATGCATTAATCGGCTGTCAGAGTACATGTCAAACTAGCAATCAAAAACGATAGACTTTAGCTTTTAAGGGATGAAAATTCTGTCATCATTTACTCACCCTCAAGTTGTTGCAAACCCGTACGAGTTTCTTTCTTCTGCTGAACACAAAGCAAGATATTTTATTTTGCACTATTGACTTCCATAGTATTTTCTTACGATATTCTTCAATGGAAGTCAATGGTGCCAAACAACATTTTGGTTCCAATCGTTCTTCAAAATATCTTCCTTTGAGTTCAACAGGAGAAAGAAACTCATACAGGTTTGCAACAACTTGAGGGTGAGTAAATGATGACCATTTTTGGGTGGAGTATCCCTTTAAAATTAGCAAAATTTGTCTCAAGAGTGTGAATCTGACTTAATAATATGCATTTAGAAAATGTTTTTTTGACATAAGTGCAGAACACAAGGCTGGATTTAAAGTCGTAATCCGTACCTGCTCCCCAAAATGAGTACAGAATGGCAGATCTGCTGCTCTGAGAAGTGTTTCTGATAAAGTGAACCGTTTACCTGTGATCGGGACAGAGGTGTGGTTGCGTTCTGCGAGCACATGTTGAAGGTCATACTTTGGGATGCGCTGAGACTGCTGTTGTTGAGGGCCATCAGGTCGAAGAGGTCAGCGGAAGGAGGTTGGGTGGATGTGGGCGCGGGGGCGGTCGGAGCGGGTACGTCACTGAACAGGTCTGGGATGGCAGATTGAGCCGTGGCAGCGGGAGGACTGGTGGAGGAGAAGGCGTTCCAGTCACCAAACTCACCGTTACCAGTAGACAGTGAACCTGAGGAGACAGCCAACCATTAAACACACACACACACACATTTTTTTTTGTATTATTCAGCAAAGATGTTTTAAAAAGTAATCAAAAGTGACTTCTCGAAAGACTTCTACTTTACAAAAAAAGCCTAATTTCAAACAAATTCTGTTCTCTTAACTCTCTAACCAAAGATTTAAAAGAAAAATGATTTAAGCAAAAATATTAAGCACAACCACTTTCAACTGTGATTATAAGAAATGTTCCTTGAGCACCAAATCAGAATGATTTATGTTGGATCATGTGACACTGAAGACTGCTGGAAATTCAGTGGTACCATCAATTAACATTTTAAAATACATTACATAAAAACAGTTTATTTAAATAATTGAAATAATTTATTTTTAATAAATATTTAAATAATTATTTAAATATTGTAATAATATTTCATATGTTTTATTGAGTTTAATGAAATAAATGTAGCCTTGCATATATGTGTGCGCGAGTATATATATATATATATATATATGAAGAGTTCAGATGCAAAAGCCTCTAAGTGCCATTTGAAATTTTCTTCTAGAATGATACTTTTTATCAAGCTTGTATATTTAAGTTCAGTGATTTCACTTAAATGGCAATGAGAATTACCTAATTGTTATTTAAGTGAAATTACTGAACTTAAATATACACGTTTGATAAAAATCATCATTAAAGAAGAAAATTTCAAATGGCATTTAGAGGCTTTTGCATCTGAACTCTTCATATATATATATATATATATATACATACATACACACTCACCTAAAGGATTTTGTGTTCTGTGTTTGTACTACCATACCATACTAATAATGCTCACATAAACATTTATTATTGATTTGTGTTAATTCTCCTACTTGCATGGTTATTGGTTCACTGTTTGTGTGTGGCCATTCATGAGACTTGTAACTGGATGGTCACATGCACACACTGCTCTTAAGGAGCGAGTCTCTGTCAGGGGAGATGGAGCATGGATGATGGGAGCTGACGTGTGTCTGTGCTCATAATACTCAGCAGGTAGTTGCTCCATCTGGACCCCTCAGTCAATCATCAATATTTCACTGCGTCGTGTGTTGCTACTCCAATCACATTTCAGACAAGCCAACAGAATTGTCATCCTACTGCCCAACAGCAAAGTGCCACTCGCTCTGCATTGAGCAGCGAGGCTCAGGGAGGGCATAGATTCACAGAATGATGGGAAAAATCAACTCAAACCCACCCATTTCTCTCTGTAATGTGGGGCACGTTGAATTGCTGTAATAACTTCCTAAATTCTCAAGTGGGGCAAATATTGCAGATGTTAGATTAAAAGAAATTCGCCAAGCACGAACAGAGAATAAAAATGGCTTGGCAAGTAAATAAAATCGTCAAAGGGATGAAAATATGAAGAGTTCAGATGCAAAAGCCTCTAAATGCCATTTGAAATTGTCTTCTTGAATGATGATTTTTATCAAACTTGTATATTTAAGTTCAGTAATTTCACTTAAATGGCAATGATAATTACCTACAGTATTAATTGTTATTTAAGTGAAATTACTGAACTTAAATATACAAGTTTCATAAAAATCATCATTAAAGAAGAAAATTTCAAATGGCATTTAGAGGCTTTTGCATCTGAACTCTTCATATATACTACAGAAAAGTTACTTTTAAAATGGAAAATTTAGTTATTCTAGAATTTTGCTTCTCCAAAACATACTTAGATTTTTTTCCCAAGCACATCTGTACCTCTGACTGGTTTGAGTGTTCAGATCACACTGTTCACATTACTACATGTTAAAGGGATAAAAAAAAGTCGAGTCAATTTCGTTGAATGAACCAAATGACTCGAAAAAAGATTCGTTCATTTTGATGAACAGGAGAGTCACGAACGTGCATTACAGGACAGAGCAAGGCCAACATTTGACCCTTATTCATCGTCTGGTGTCGTTTAAAATGCTTTGAACAGTTTGCAGTTTGCACTGAATCTCTAATTTGGACCTTGAACCGTTTGGTTCCCATTGAAGTCCATTATATGGAGAAAAATCCTGGAATGTTTTCATCAAAAACCTTAATTTCTTTTCGACTGAAGAAAGAAAGACATGGACATCTCGGATGACATGGGGGTGAGTAAATTATCAGTAAAAGTTTTTTTTTTTTAAGTGAACTACTCCTTTAATGTTTTTTTTCGATGAAAACTTGCAGAGAGACAATGAAGATATCACCAATTATCATCAGATGTGGCAAAACCCTAATTTTGGTCCTGTTCAGGATTGTACTCTGCATGTGATCTTAAAGGATGTGCAGTTGGATCACACATACCAGCAGCTGACGGGAGACTGGCAGAGGCAGAAGGTGAGGACAAGTCAGCAAAGTCACCAATGAGATCTGAGCTTTCAACTGTAAACAATCAAGACCACGCATAGTCTTTAGAAACAAATTATATAATATTATTGAGAATTGCAAACATAAAGAGGGCAAAAACATACAAGTATGTTTCAAAAGTTTAGGGTCGGCAAGATTTTTTTTTTTTAAAGATTTGAAACATCTAATATTGAAAACAGTAATAAAAACAGTAATATTGTGCAATATTTTTTACAATTGAGTTTTTTATGTTTTAATAAATTTTCAAAAAAAATGTTATTGATGTGCAAGTAAAGCTGAATTTTCAGCATCATTACTCCAGTTAGTGTCACATGATCCTTCAGGAATCATTCTAATATGCTGATTTGTTGCTCAAGAAATATTTATTATCAATGTTTGAAACAGTTGTGCTGCTGATTATTTTTGTGGAAACCAGGATATATTTTTTACCCATTCTGGGATTAATAGAGTTCAAACTGTTAATACTGACATTATTCATCAATTCAGAGTATCAGCAAGTATCAGTGCGTCCAATTTAATACTTTTTAATATAATTTAAGACCTTTCAAAAAAAAAGAAAAAAAAAAAAGAAGACCTGTAGATCGCTTATATCAGTTTCAATGAGAACGAACCAAATCACCCAGCTCAAAAGAGAGATATACAGTAAAAATTAATAATGTTTTTATTTTTTTAAAGAATAACAAAAATCCATGTTGTTATATTAATACTGGACTGAAAATATATGATAATAATATTTTTTTATTTGGGGATAAAATGGTACAATAACAAGAGTAATATATTTTCGTTTTAATTAACTTGTGCAATAGAACGATTTTATGATTTCAAAAAGCAACAAGCAAAAATGTCATATAATATATTACTTTTTGCATTTTTAACTGTGGATTTAAGAAATTTTATGCTTAAGGCTTTATTTTTACATTAAGGAATTAATTCATCCTTGGTGTTTTAATGCAAAATATATTTTTCACGACAGAAGAGAAAATCTCTTTACATCAAAACAAAGATTTCCTATCATGACAATGCAGAATAGTAACAACCGGTCAGGACTAAAACTCAGATGCACAGGCAAACACACACGTCCATCCACGTACAACACAATTAGGTTGTCACAACCTGATAGCAACAGCTCGTGACCTCCTGACTGATGTCAACGGACACAGCACAGCTGTTGGGCTGGTGATGGGATACGGAGGGACAGCAGCATCTGTGCACCCATCTCCTATCACTTCTCTCTCTCCCCCACACACACACACACACACACACACACACACGACTCACCCATCTGGGGCACTTAGATGCCTCTGACTGCATCTCTGACTTTAAAAGCACATCAACTTTTAGGAAAAAAGTTTCTCTTGGAGATTTAAGCTTCTGTATGGAGGAAATTGGGCTCAAAAACAATATCCAAGTAGTAAAAGGATATGCTTCACACACACTGGGCAGGTGTGGGCAATAGTGATAGTGATGCTTAAAGCAAGAAGCGTTTTCAAATGTGGACAATGCAGCTGGTCAGGGTCTTACCTGAAGACACTGGTTGACCAGAGCCAGAGTCCACCATCAACAGGTCTGCAAACCCTATGCTGGATGACTGACTCGATGATGCCTGAAAAGAGAATAAAGAATGTCATATTTCACTTCTACCACATGAAGGCAGCACAGGCTTCCTTTTGCAACCATAAGCACTATCACAGAGAGGACTGTGTGGCATTCATGTGCTTTGGTTAAGATTCTGCAGTCTTCTATACGGACACCTTCTGGAGTGTCTATGTAAAAATCAATGTAAACTACTGGTCGAGTTATTATTATGAGCAATATAATAAGATGGCCAATATAACACTAATATAATACAAAAAAAGCAAAACAATTTATTTCATTTGAGCATTTAGGAACTTATTACAGAACTTCTTTATTGTTATTATTGCTAATGTAAATAAACTTAATAATAGCAATATATTATTAATAATTTAACAACATACTTAAAATTATGGAAATTAAATGGATGCTTATTTCACCAATATATTACACACAATTACATTTCTCTAACTTGAACATTTAGGAACTTACAACAATTCTTTATTATTATGGTTAATGTAAATAAGTAGGGCTGTCAAACGATTAATCGCATCCGAAATAAAAGTTTGTCTTTACATAATATATGTGGGTGCACTGTGTATAATTATTTTGTATATATATATATATATATATATATATATATACACACACACACACACACATGCATGTATATTTAAGAAAAAAATATTATTTATATATAAAATATTGATATTTAAATATAATATAAATTATATATAAATCTCCATACAGTATATAAATAAAAATATATTTCTTAAATATATACAAGCATGTGTGTGTATTTATATATATAAAATAATTATACACAGTGCACCCACACATATTATGTAAACACAAACTTTTTTTTTTTGGATGCGATTAATTGTTTGACAGCCCTAAATAAGTATTTATTAAGTCAATAAAATAAGTCAACCTATGGGAAATTATAACTGCTTAAAATTATGGAAATTATTCCATTTATTTCCCAATATGTGAACATCTTAATTATAATTATTATTATTGTTATAAAAAAACAATTGTTAAAGTCCTGTAGTCAATAGTATCTCTGAAAAGTCCAACCCATGGACTATCATTATGCAAATTAGTCTCAGCCTCCACTCAATCACCCCAGCTCGGACTACCAGATACACTGGGTCAAATACGGAAATAATGGTTTAATTCAGTCGTATCTGTTTGAACCAGATACTGATTCAGAAGAAGTGGAAGAGGGAATTACACAGGCTCGATGTCGATGTATCAGAATGGTAATGCACTTTATGTATTGCTATCTATAACATCTGACACATAAGGGTAATTAATGTGATTAGCCATTTGCTTGATTATGTTATCAAACCGCTAATAATGTGTTGCTAATGTTACACACAAAACAAACAGCTGAACATCAGTATCCTTAAACGCTTTGAACAATTTAAAGGCGTATATTTCATCACAACATCATAATCGAGAGCAGAGATTCAGAGAAGAAAATTTAAACAGTTGTGTTACAAAGTGTAGACAAATCAGTCTTTTAGATTAGATTTCAATTTGACACACAACTATTGGATTTGGAATGACAGTGTGAATGTAGCCTTAGATTGTGAAGCTGACACTCCTGCAGTTACAAAATTGGCCAGATGTGTTAAGCTGGATATTTTAAAACGGCTTTAAACAACTTAAATGAAACGGACGGCTCTTGTGCTAAAATCTTTATGTACCCTTTACAGCAGGATGCAGTATTTTACCTTGTTGCCGTCAGCATCGGGACTGCTTTTGCCGCCAGTGTAATGAGCCGCCGCGCCCAAGTCGACGGTTTTGGACGGGAGTCCGCCGCGTTTGCGTGTGGAGGTGGTCGTGGAGGTGATTGTATCGGTGTTCTGGGTGATCTGGATGCTCTTGGTTGTTACAGTTTCCTCATCATCCTTGAACTCTGACTTTGCAAGACGACCGTTCCGTGAAACTTTGTCCTCCTCATTGTCACTGCAGGAAGAGGCAACAGTAAAACTAATGAAGTAGTCAATTTGTTTCATTCAAAGTACATTTCAAAGCATTAAAATCAGTATCTATTTTCTAAATTATGTTAATGTGAACAATTCACTAGGATGTCTTAAATTGGCCTTTTATGTATTGTGACGTACATCCAAGTGTATAAAATGGATTATCAAAAAAAGACCAAATTTAGGATGGAGAATTGGTTCTACCCATCGTTTGGTGATTGGATAAGACACATCAGCTGAATGTGAGCGTGCAGATAATAATAGTAAGGAAGGAGGACTGTGCATGTTTCACCAGAGAGATGTCTGGGTCAAGTTAAACTGCAGAAACAAATGCCAAAAAAAAAAAACACGTGTCAGGTTTTGCCGTATCATTGTGTTATTTTGTGAGCATGACAGTTATTTATTATATAACGGGCAACTTGTTTGTTTGGGTTTGTCTGTACGGTGTGAATTGGCCGTAAAGGGTTAGTTCACTTTTAAAAAACTTTTGCTGATAATTTACTCACCCCCATGTCATCCAAGACGTCCATGTCTTTCTTTCTTCAGTCGAAATGAAATTAAGGTTTTTGATGAAAACATTCCAGCATTTTTCTCCATATAATGGACTTCAATGGGAACCAAACGGTTCAAGGTCCAAAAGACAGTTTCAGTGCAAACAGCAAACTGTTCAAAAGGGTTTAAACAATTCCAGACGATGAATAAGGGTCTTATCAAGTTAAAAAAATAAAAAATAAATAAAAAGTTTGAGTTTTATAAGCTCAAATGCTCGCCTTGCTCTGTTCTGTGATGCGCGTTCGTGACTCTCCTGTTCGAACTCGTTCATCAAAATGAACAAATCTTTCCAGAGTCAACTCGTTCCTTTCGTTCGTTGAATGAACCAAATGGTTCGGAATAAGATTCGTTCATTTTGATGAACGAGTTCGAACAGGAGAGTCACGAACGCGCATCACAGATCAGAGCAAGGCGAGCATTTGTGCTTATAAAACTTAAACGTAGTTTTTTTTTTTTAAATGAGCGATCGTTTCGCTTGATAAGGCCCTTATTCATCGTCTGGAATCATTTAAACCCTTTGAACAGTTTGCACAGAAACTGTCTTTTGGACCTTGAACCGTTTGGTCCCCATTGAAGTCCATTATATGGAGAAAAATCCTGGAATGTTTTCATCAAAAACCTTAATTTCTTTTCGACTGAAGAAAGAAAGACATGGACATCTTGGATGACATGGGGGAGAGTAAATTATCAGCAAAAGTTTTTTTTAAAAGTGAACTATCCCTTTAAGAAAAGCTCTGTCTCTACTTCGGTTCCATAGCTTTTTATTCTATAGCTTTATCAATTGTATGGACTGAAAATTCAGTAACGTACCTGATACGGTCTGGCGAGTCATCTCTCTCCTTCTTGCGGAATTTGTTGATGGTGTCATCAATGGTGCTTCCAATTTTGTCACTTATCTCCCCAAATTTTTCACTGAAGGGGAAGCTGCTCTTGTTTTTGTCCCAGTCCTCGTCCCAGTTGCTTTTGGATTCGGGTTCAAATCGTTCTCCCGCTGGGAATGTTGATACAGAATTAGTTAGGTGCTGAATTTATTCGAGATGTTTAATGCATCTGATATTTACGCACATTAAAATAAATGCTTTTTTTATTTAAAAAAGAGATAAAATGAAATTAATGACCAATAAACCGCCACCCCGGACACCCCTCTGGCTCCGCCACTGCTCATACTGTACACACATTTCTAATTTCGAAAAGTGTGGAAAATACACCTGACTAGAATCACTCAACCCCAACTTAAAATCAAGCTGTCTACCCCCCTCTGACCCCGAGGTATTTTTATCTTTCACAACCAAAAAGAAAAATCCATCATTAGACTGCCATAAATAATTGCAAATTTGAACCTGTAGTACAGCTAATAAAGGGAAAGATCTGAGCAGCAATCAAAGCACACACCAAGCACAATCTTTCGACTTTGCACACAAGTAACATCACTAATGACATGACAAGGGACATGGCATCTTGACTTGATTAGACAGCTCTAAGAGAAAACATGTAATACAAAAAGCAGAGATCTGATTATTTCTTCTAACCTGATCATAAACATCACCAAATGACGCAGTGAGTAAAGTTGAACAAGTGATAGCCCTGAAATCAAAACAGCTCTAATCAAAAGATCAGTTGCGGAAAGACGGGAATCCAGGGGGAATTTCTCCATATACTATGCGAGAAAACTTCAGAGGGCCTAAAACAAATCCCTGTGGGATGCCAACAGTACAGAGACAAAGAGGCTCACTTTTGGGGTCAATCACAGTTTCAACAGACAAAAATAATGCCTCAAAATGACCTAGGTCCAAAGGGAATTTCATGCTTTATTTGATTACACAACAGCAGCACAATGCATTTAGGGGGAAAAAAAGGTACCTGGTAGGAAGAAAGCAACATCAACATTGTATATGACGCATATTTACTGTCTAGGAAATGTTTGCAGAACAGTTTTAGTATACTGATATTAATTGTGAGCAGATTATCTGTGTGTACTGGTCATCAGATTATCAATTAATAAATTATGCAAGCTGTCTTAAATTACATTTTTTAGGTTTTTAGGTTTGGGGCAAAACAATCTCTTTTTTAAACCAGCGGGAGAGAGCAAGAATATCTGGGAAACCGGTCTCGAAAACCTTTTGATAAAGCGTCTTCATTTTGGCAGTGGCATTAGTGGTTGTAAAAATCTAATTTAGCAACACTTGATCACTTACAGTTACTTTGTTTGAAGCCTCCCATGCTGTCAGAAGATACTCCAATGTATTTGTCTTTATTCTTCTTGGCTTTCTTCCTCTCCTCACGTAACCGATCATCATCCTGAACGAACTCGACCATTTCTTTAACCTTCTGCCGTACATTAATGCCCTGGTCCTTCCCATTCTCATCTAGCAAAACAGAAAAGAGCATGTCAAGTCACATGGAACTGTTTGGCCCATTTATTCTTGTTTTTGCAAACCTCCTTTAGATACAGTAAGAAAAAAAATGGATAAGTACCCCAATGTCAGAATAATTGAAATATTTAAGAAGATAATGCTGTAGTCAACTTTTCTTTCAATGCCAGAACAGCTGGAATACTTAAAATGGAAGAAATGCATGGCTCTTCTACAAAAGTCTAGGTAGGCTGCTAAATTATTTCTTATTGTTTGCCTTATTAAATATGCATTAAATACAAATTCATAAATACAGTGGTATAAAGGCAAACCTTTTGGGTTGAATACGGAAATGAACGCAAAAAAAGCTACTGATGTGCTAACGTTCATGAACGGTCTCAGTAGATGATTGAAATGATGAAATATTAAACAGAATAGCTTCTGAAAAGCCACAGATTCTTTGAAACATATTTAGAACGAGGTAGAGCTTTTAATAGCTACAAAAAAGGAAAAGAAACAGACAGTAACGCCTCAAGAACAATGACTAGTAGGAAGTTGCAGGATCTGTCATTCATGTTACTGCTTTGTCAACAAATGCAGCTTAAAAGATGTAGTGCCTTCAGAAAGACTTTATTACTTGAAAATTAATAATTTTCACCTTTAATTCATTTATGAATTCATTTATTAATTCTCTATAATGAAATATATACATTTCGCTCGTACAAACAAGCTTTTCCTGTTGGAAAGCAAACCCCAGAGCATGAGGCTACATCCAGCATCGCTTGACATCTGGGATACTGTTACCTGGGTGTTGAGCTATATTTGGGTTATGACAAACAAAACACTGTTTTCAGGCCAAAGAGCTCAATAATAAATATCACATCACCCTCTGCAACAGCATCAAAAGACCCAGTTTGCTCATATTTGCCTATTTGCACACTGCAAATATTATTTATATATAAAATATTTATATGTATATAAAATATAAATCTATATACAGTATATACATGAAAATATTTCTTAAAGGGTAACTAAACACCAAAACAACTTTTTTTAGTTAATGATCTGCAAGAATGGAGCTTCATAAATGCTGTTCATTGATTCGAGTACATTTTTTGACAATTGAGTATAAAGTGTTTTGATTTTCAAATATATGGTGTAAAAACGTCTGAGTGCTGCCCTCTTCAGGTTAAACGGAAAGCTCCTGCAGTAGGGGTACTTGCTGACGTAGCGAACTCTCAGACGCACTCTGTCACACCCTTGGTGCGAGCTCACCACGCCCTTGGCAACCCCTGGTATAAAGGCATCTGGTTCCGTCAAAACTACTGTAGCGAGTCAGGAGTTGGATTTATGAATATTGAAAACGATCAGGATACTATAGCATATAATAGCATCTAGTTAGCATAGCATTTATATAGTTATTTAGATTATTTTTGAAAACGACCAGGATAGAGTATTGTTGCATCTATTTAGCATAGCATTATATAGATAATTTAGATTATTTTGTGTAGCTAGTAGCATAGTACAGTTAGGATAGCTTCAAGTTAGCATAGATTTATCAGTGTTTAGTACAGTGATCAGGATAGTAACGGAATAGAGGTGGACATGGGCTTCTCCACACGCAGTGCCAAACACTGCTCGTCCTGCATGGACTCCTCCACCGCAGCGGCGTCTTGATGTGAGTGATCATGGATATTTTAATCACAATTTATGGTTTGGATAAAGTTAATCCTCTAGGGTCGACAAACGAGCCGGTGCATTTTGCTGGATTTTTTCATATAGCGGCATAATATCAATAGCGTGCGCTATTGAGATCAACTCGACGACATAACTCATCAGATGCCGGTCGCGATGCGGGAGTTAAGACCGCAGTTTGAGCCAGCAGCTCGAATGGATTTGGCCCTGTGTATACATACAATTCACCCTCATCCACTTCAGGTGAAGGTGAAGGTGAGGGAGAAAAGTCCTCGACTTCAAATGGCCGCTCTGTTGCAAAGGCAGCTATTGAGTCACTCCAGACTAGTCTCGCTCTATTTTAGAGTCTGACAGCAGCTGTCACTCACGGCGGGTCTCAGGTGCACGCCCCCTAGCCCCGCTGGGGTCTGCCCATTTTTTCAGCATTTTTCAAATATTGCTAGTGGGTGGAGTCAGGCTCTGACCAGGGGTTTAGTTACCCTTTAAATATAAGTGTGTGTATTTATATATATATATATATATATATATATAATAATTATACACAGTGCACCCACATTTATTATGTAAACAAAAACTTTATTTTGGATGCGATTAATCACGATTAATCATTTGACAGCCCTAATTTTTATCATTAATAATCTATTAATTTTTTAAAGACTAATAGTCCTATGAAATGTATTTTATGTAGAAAAAGTATTTTTCTTTTTATGATTTACAACCAAATGTTTCAAAAAAGGTGGTAATCAAATGAATGCATAAAACTAGCAGTTTAATTAATGCTTTAAAAAATAAATCAATTAAAATTTGTAAAATTTTTAGTCTTTTTTTTGGAAAAAATATTTTCCTTTAATTATGTTTAAATAAATTGTATTGCTATTATTATTATTTTTATTATTTGAGAAGTAAATTCTATTGTACAATAGTAGTACATTTCTGTCATAATATCTTCAGGTTAAACCAAACTTTTATTTTGACGGTTTTAGTGAAGACCTTTGAGATTCAGAGTGTATTTTTCTCAAATAAAATGATGAAATGCTCTTTTTAACTTCTTTTCGACAGGGGAAAGAGGTTAGAGATAACAGCCTCTGCTTTTCTCCGCTGTACGTGTGTGGGTGGATCAAGTTGAGAGTCTAAACAGTCAAGTGGATAGAAGGCGTAGGCGAGATTCTCCGTCAGATTTATTTTTCTCCAATACCGTAAATAAGTAAATGTGCATGATATGATAATCGTATCATACCGGTATACCGCTACAACCCTACTGTGTATACAAGGCCTGAGGAAGCTTCTGGAGCTGAAACTCAGATATCATTTGGTAATGGCCATTTCGTTTCCATCATGCGCTGTAAGGGGTAAACCAATCAGAACAGACTGGGCCATCTGGCCAATCAGAGCAGAGTAGGCTCCAGGAAAGGAGGGGTTTAGAGAACAAATCCTTTATCAAATTGTTTCAGACACTGTGAGAAAAGAGGTGATGGTGCAATGCATATTATGAGAAGATGTTTTTTGACCATAGATGCGTAGGAGACCTCTAAAAATAAATTAGGGACATTTAAAGGGACATAATAGGGGCACTTTAACCTTCTAAGCATTTCATCTATTTAAACCTACCTACAAAATGATAATTTTCCATAGAACGCAGGTCGTAAATATGTTCTCTGGCGCTGGTGACCACCCGCTCTGACCCGTTTCTGATGAGGTACGCTAATAGCAATAAGGCCTGCACAGATGGAAGATTGAGTTATTAGGGATTTTTCCAAATCAAGCCATTTAAAAAGTTAAATGCAGGATTTTGCGTGTATAATTAGTTTAAAAAAAAAATACACACTTTGTTTACACACTGAGGTTCAAGTCAAAATCATTGTATGTGATCAACAACACACATGCTACAGATGCGTTGATAACCTTAAATATTCCTTTACACTCATTAAACATGACTATTGTTCAGCTGGACTATTCAAAATTCTTAGTGAATCATGGGATTTTAGGAAGTGTAACCACATATGGAACAAACATTTCTTTGTGTGAAGAAATGAATGAAGATTAGAAATAGACCGATAAAGTGTCAAGTCTAGTGATTTGGCCGGTATTTGCTTTTTTTACTAAATACTAGGGGTGGCACGGTACATGAAAAACATCTGAACCGCTCGGTTCGCTTGTCTCGGTTCGGAGCGTGTGTGATTTCATGTTATGATATTTAAATGTATAGTTTAAGTTTAAATTATACTTTAAGTTTAAATAAAAACTCAATTTTTGTAAGAGCTACACTTAAGTTAATTTCAATCTTTGTGTGCTAAAAATGCACATAAGTTCCTGTAGAGATAGTGTTACACATTGTACTTTTTTTGCTAAATAAACAAAAAGCATGTCATCAATGTCTTCTCTCTTGCTGTATCAAAATCTCATCTAATTGTGGATAATTAAGCTATTTGTCATATGCTGAAGTAAATTTCTGGAGTGTTAAAGATTAAAAGAAAAAATAACAACAAGAACCGTACAGAACCGAAAACCGTGCTAAAAAACGAACTGTGGGTTTTGTGAACCGTGCCACCCCTAATAAATACTGTATAAATGTAGTACACAAGTGAATGTACACTTAATTTCAGTAGCTAATTGTTACTCATTTAAAGTGAAAGTATGATTTAAGAAGAAAGCTTCTCACAGAGATGAGCAGTGCACTGTACCTTGTAAACTCTTCTCCAATTCTTCTTGTTGTCTTTCAGCATTCTGGTCCAAAGCATGTTCATAACTTCAGGGAACTGCTCATACATAAATGTGGATCTGCAGCATGAATAAGGAGGATTACAATTGCAAGATACTAAATAGATTAAAACGTTTTTAAACCTTCTATTAGATTAATTAAGTATATAATAACAATCAGAGAACAGTAATTACTTCCAGAAGGAGATCCCTGAGTGGCAATTATGCCATGCCAAATTGTCTAAATATAAGGTTTCAGTGGAATCTCAACAAAAAAACACAGTGATTCTGCCCAGTTGATATGCAGAAGCAATTTTGCTTGGTTTATTACAAGCTAAATAATAGGGCTGCATGATATCGTGGAATTATAAATATGATATTATTGTATTACAAAATATTGCAAATGTACATATCACAATATGTGTATCTCAGCGGCTTGCGATATCTGAATGATTTTAATTTTATTATTTCAATGCATAATAGATATATAGAGAATAGACTGACTTGTGTGTGACTTTCCCCATGTTATAAGAATTAAACAATCTGGTGCAATCTCGAATTCAGTTCTCTTTATTGCACTCGAACGGTCGAATATACACACAGTTGTCGAAATGCCTGTCTTGGCAACTGAGTTTCGAAAGAAATATGGTTTGTCAATGAGATCCGTGCATTAGTCTTAAAGTGACAACAGCCTAATACAGTTTACCTGCAGCCGTCTGTAAAAAACAACATTAGAAAAAGAGAAAATAGCTTCTGCTCTTGACTGAATAACTTTTGCAGCTTTAATATGAATCAATATTTAATTCATGGGAAGACTATACAGACTTTTATTTGTACATTTGATATTGTTTCTCAATTGAATTGCACTGACAAAAGATCTAATGTATGCCAACCAGAAAAAACTTTTTAAAATTTCATTTATATCTTATCTTTATTTTATTGTATTTGTCCTATTGTTTGTATTTTGCCTATTCGTTCTTATTTTTAATAACAGATACATTCAAATATCAAAAAAAACTAATCATCCACCTCTAGTTTCAGGTGTTTTATATATACAACTATATATGTCCATCAAGTTTTGCAAAGAGTTGTTGGTATTAAAATCGTTTTTTGTTTGTTTGTTTTACATTGATTTTGAAAAGACATTGTCAGATTTGTGACATTATTTTTATGCAATGCTAAAACACTGTTGGTCACTTTCAGAAGTTGTAGTGATTCTTTGTTTCCCAAAAATATACAGTATATTGGTTAGCATTTTTAGTTTTCAAATATAATTTAAATTGATTTTACACACTTAAAGCATTATTTAATCATATCGCATAGCAAATATCGCAATCTTTAACAAGATAACGTACATCACATTTTCTTAGATAACGTGTGGCCCTACTACTGTATATTATAATCTGGCAAGTTTTTTTTAACCTTTCGAAAACAGGAATTATACCACTGACAATCAGAACAGCTTTAAAGATGTTTGTATATTTTCCCACATATTTCAAGTTATTATTATTCCTAGCAAATATGCTTGAAAGTACTAACACGGGGTTTCCATCACAAAGTTTGGCATATTCAAAGTCAAACCATCCATCGTCATCCTGTTTCTGATTTTAATGTAGTGTAATTATGTAAAGTACACTTGTTTTGTACAAATTTAAAATATAAGTCACTAAATGACTTACAAGTCTATGCCATGATGCAATGCAAATGAAATCATCAGCTATCAATGATGAGATCAACGTAATTCTGCAGTAATTGCCCAACACAAATGCTCTGCGGTAATTCAGAGAAGAGTCATTGAATGCCTGAAGACTGAGTAGTTCGAGCACTTACTTGGCGATCTCACCCATGAGCTGACCCGATGGGCCCCAGGGGTCATCATTGGTGGCTTCTCGAACCTTGGACTCAATCTCGGAGTAGTTCATCACAACATTGGTGCTGGGAAACAGCGAAAAACAGAGAACCACAAATAAACACCAGACAACCACACACAGACACGCAAGTCAATATATTGCTGCACATGAAGGTGTTGGAAAAACTCGCTCGAGCACGTCCATTTTGGTTGACTGATATGTATTTTGGACTGATAGAAGAGAACAGACTGCCAAGGTTTAAATGCGTTCAGATGAAGCCCGAGAGGTCTGTTCAGTGTTAAATCTACTGAGCAATTCTGTAGAGTAAGCCAATACGTTGACATTGTTGTAGATCAACCTGCCAGTCAATGGGGAAAAACACTAGGAAAAATCTACAAGATTGAATGGTGAAGTTATGCTGGCCAAAGATATATGAAGAAAACAAAGTCCAAAAAAGCTTCTCAACAAACAAATATTTTATAAAATCTGCCTGGTTACACACTTGTCTGGCCTAACGGGAGTGATCCGAAAGATCATTTTGTTCCCCGACCAACAGATTCAAGCAATGGGCCAACTTATAGACCGATCTTCGTGGTTTATAATAACTAGCGACAAGGAATAGGAAAATGAGAGCAGGGCACATCATTAACGGTTAATACTCATGTCAACTTGTTTTGTGCTATGTTTTCCACAAAACTTTAGATGTGAGGAAGCGTAGGAGGACGTGACAATGAAATGATGTGCCTTTATTTGGAATTGGAAATAAAAATCTAGAACAGTTGCTCCTGTGCTCTGATTAATAGACAGTCTAAGTAAAATGGAGAAAGTGAGAAATGAAATATAATTTATGTGCAGTTTTAACTCTAGATGATCATAGGTCAAAGACCAGATTGACAATTAACCTAACAAGACCCTACTCTTTAACAGGTTTGGAAGAGACAGGGTAATGCAAATTCATTCCTCAACTTACAAAGTTTCCACAGGCTGGGAAAATGTTTAAACTACACTTCAGGAATAGTTCACTTCTGTTCAGTTCAACTTGGACTATCCTTCCAAACTGATCATCCTTTTCTCAACACTCAACTTTGAAAATTCCAACTTCATTCCCATTTATTCCCATCAATTTCGGTTAATTCCCTTAAATTCCCATGGAAAGTTTCATCTTTGAAAATTCCCAAAATTTTGCAACCCTAATGACGAATAGGAGATGTTCAACAAAATGTCTGAGATGCTCTTAACTCAGCAAAAGGGATGAGGACTTGGCTACAAGTCAAGTTTTTGGATTTATAGATCACCCTTTTTGCCATAGCTCTCACATGACATCAAACAAGGATGCATTTATTTTTGCATTTATTTATTTATACATTTGGGGGCACTTTTATCCAGAGACTCACATACAAGGTATTAATTTTTATATGCATTTATTTATGTATAATGAGTGTAAGGACAGGGTTCATTGCTTAGTTTTTTACATCAAATTGGTCCAAAACGATGTGTATTTAAATAAATTCCCTAACACTTAAGTCATTTATGAAAATATGTATTTTTGCACTGCTATAAAATGCATACGGCATCGTTTCCTTTTTTTCTTCTTTTTTTTTATTAAACAGTCAGACATGCATACAAACAACATCGGTTCTTACTTGTTGCATTTAAATGTTTTGAATAATGACTCCCAAAACTATCGTATAGCTTTAAAAGAATGCAACCGCATTCGATTTTATGGACTTTTTTATAATATACTCTGAAGTATATAACACCGACGCCTGGCACTAGACACAAGTTTGATTTTCTTTGTCTTACATGGATCAACTGTTAGTCTCTAAATATGTTGCGGATCACACAGTTCCAAAAGCCAACTAGAGTCAACGGAGCAGAACTGCAAGAAAATAGGCCCACAGACGCTCAACAATGGCCTGACTATGGCCGACTGTAAGCTTTGTGTAGTACGACCTTAAGACCAGACTAGCCAGTGCATCCTACTAATATAGTCAATCAAAATGGATGGACACAGCCTGTAAATTAAAGATCAATTCCACATCATTTGATAAATGACACACTTGAAATCAGAACCACATAACCACTGCAGAGGTGGCACTCACCAGAGGTTTAAAATGCAAACTCTCAAAACAGCTGCAAACACTTTCCATAATCATTACTAATGTGAAAACGTGGCTTTTTCCGCCTCTCTCTCACAGTCCCAAAGGGCAAAGAGGGTGGGAGAGTGGAAGTGGACTTCTGGAAGTTATTAAAGACAGTCAAGTGGTGCTGGATGATGAGCAGGTGGGCAACATGCATTTCGCTGGAACGTGGAAGCAGGTGGTCTGGAAATACAACGTAGCTGATTCACAATCATTTGAAGAGTCAGAGAGAGCCAACATCACATCTGATCCAAATCAATGACTTCAGCAAAAACTGGCAACAAGGAAATCAATCCCGCTCAGCTGCGTCACTTTCAGGATTTGTGGGTGGCGTGGTCGTTCCAACGGACCAGTTTGACTTAATGGAAGAGCAAATTCAATCTGTAAACACTTTCAAAAACAAAACCTCAAAAGTAATTCAGACTATTCAGATGGAGGCGAATGCTGCACATATGGTTTTGATGACTGAAAGATGGATCTAACTGTGTGGCAGCTGGCAAGGATGAATGTTAAGTTGCTTAACCAGCACTATTCCATAAAAAGCCACACTTAAATTCCTCTTCCAGCTTCCTTACATCATGTATTTGTACGTTGAGCAGGGCTGTGTGGATACAATATTTGGGTCTTATTAATAAAACACGCGCATAATGAATAAGTAAATCGTGCATGAATCATGAAATAAGCATGTGAATTTGTCATCTAATTCAATCCATACAAATGTTTTTATATACAATTTATAAACTCTCTCTGCTCATATTTTATAAATAAGACCTATTAATCTTTGTATTGTGATCATATTTCTAAAACAACTCATTAATGTTATCTTTGTTGTATACATTTTATGTATTTATAAAGCACAATTAGTGAACAAGTATAGGCTTAGGTCTATAACAGTTTTTTTTTTAAATGCTAGCGTTTAGGTAACTGTAATTTAAAGGCGAGATGATGCTACTTAAGTTCTTTGTTTCTCACATCAAGTTGTTTGGTTCTCAAATCAAATTCGATTTGATTTGTACTGCCTGCATTTTATTAATTCATCAAAAAGTTGACAAATTTCATGATATTCCGCTTTATACAGTAAATTCTGTTTTTATGACTGGTGTTCTGCATCACGGAAATCACAAGGCTCTATTATATTGAGATATTTTGCAACTTCCATGTAGTAATTTATTGCTTCTTCGGCATAGTCAGCTGCTGCCTTAACTTTGAGAGACAAAAACTTTCAATGCCTTCAGCTTTCTGCGTTGAGGTCTGCCGGACTCTTGACTCCCAACAAATCAGATGTGCGGGGACATAAGTTTAGTCTACAGAGTGGCAAGTTCCGACACATGTGGCTGCGTTAGAGACAAACATAGCGCATTTGAAAATAAAATTATTTTATCGGCAAATCGGTTTTGAAAATGGCCGATACCGAGTGATCATTGTTTATTTTCAACAAAAAGACTTAAAAAACATATTTTACAAGGTAATTATTTTTGACAGAAGTTTTTTTTTTGGGTGTAGCACCATCTGACAATTTACAACATAACATTTCTGGTCATAAATGGTCAAATTATCAGATTTTTTTTAGAGACTTTATAACCTTTTGTAAATAAGTAAAAAAAAGTCAACCTAATAAATGCTAATGTTCAAAATCCAAATCACCAATCAGGCATTCAAGAAGCAAATTCACTAGTGTGACCACAAATCGGTTGCTTCAATGCCAAGTAAGAGTTCACGACAGCGGGAATGGCAATCAATGCGACTCAAACATGTAGAGAGAACGCTGCAAAGTTGGCGTAAGATTACAAGGAAAATCTCAGGCAACTGAATAATGAATGATGTGGGTTTATGCAGGCAAGCGGCCTGTAGAGCAGTCACACACACGAATACATTCCAGACACACGTACGGTGCTGTGTACTGTGCTGCACATATTTTACTGGAATATTCAATATGCAGGAAAGACAAAAGCAGAAGAGGCAGGCTTTCTTTCGCACAAAGAGAAAGGGGCACAGACAGGCGTAGGGGCGTCTTGCCATCCTTTGCATCCGCAGCCTCTTTGTTCTATGGGCCTGCCGAGATTTACTCTCCACTTCTTTTATTCCCTCCTTTGCTGTTCTTCGCTAAAAATGAATGGGTGTACTTGCACATTCACTGTGGAGCATATGGCCTGCAAAAAAAAAAAAAAAAAAAAACCCACAACAAACTCAAGACGCCTCGCATGAAAGCTCTCTGAGTGGTTTCAGCTTTCCTGCTCCGCCACCTCAGACTAAAAAGACTACCTAGAGCTTCTGAGGGAAGCAAAGGTCTGGTTAAAGCTTTACGATGGAGATGAGGACGCTGGCGGTTTATAATAAGTATGATGGAGAGGGAACGAAAGCGCCAGCTAAGAGATGAAAAGCGTGATACCCGGACAAGGGAAAGTTAGAGAAAGAAGTCCCAAGAGATGAGTGAATTATGGAGACGGGTGATTCTGAGTTGAGGCTACCACTGGATTCACTCAACAGCAAACAAATATATATATATATATATATACAAAGCTCATCAGCCTGTTACAGGAAGCTAGTTGAACAAACTTTAAGATTCAGAGTTGGTTTCAGAGTTGGAGACCAAACCAAACAAATCCAAGCCAAGTTCATAATACTTGCAATAAACGATCTTGGTCAACTCAGGGTTTGATCTGCAGAGTTTGATTCACTTCTCTGCTGAAGATTAAGAGATAGCATGAATTGAAACCATGCATGAAAAAAAAAACACTGTGGCTTCCATAAATGTTTTTAAAAGAAAGCCGAAGGAAAATATCTGACTATATTAATGCAAGTGATCCAGCTGAACTTATAATTAACCATTTAGATGGGTTCACAGAGCTTAAAAAGAAAACATGGACATTCAGCAATTTTTTTTAATTGTGTATGCATTTAAATTAAAAGTTGAATATTCAAAATAGAATTGCTTTTGTGTAAAGCATTAAATTATCAGACTGATCTCATGAAGTATGATAAATTATCAGTGCCATCAAGACGCATAATCGCTTTTCAGCGTGTTTATGAACGCCGTTGACTTAACGTTATTTCTGTATATATAAATATATGACTTACCTCAACCCCGTCCCTAAACCTAACCGTCACTGGGGTTAATGGCATTTATGAGTGTTCCCTTACCATCATAGAAAAAAAAAAAAAAAAAGATCGCTCCCCAGTTGTAGATCTACATTTTGCTTCGTTTCGCGCGGACATTTGACGGAGTGTACAGACACGTGGAATCACTCGGACGTTGATGGCGTAGACATACATGCATACACGCAGATAGCTCAAAATGCGTAGAGATAACACGCCACTTGACTCGAAAGTGGCGTGTATGTTTACGCAAAAGTCATGATGTCATGTTGAAATTATCTAAAATGCTTTCACTGTGAACTGAAGTGATTTAACTCGCAGGCTTTGACATCTGAGACATTCTATTTGAAATTGTTATTTTGAAATTGTAAAGTTATTTAACGAAAATAGCTCTCGCAGATCCGCAACAAGATGTTGATACATTGTGATTCGTCTCAAATATATTTACCACACCTTATTTGACCAAACTGGCTAACATAAACGGGAGACTAATTGTTGATCAATCTCACTTATGAGTCCATGGAATTTTCCAGCTATTGATTATGTACTAAAAGTTTCCAGTGACATCCACATCAATGAAGAATATTTTAGTATTCAGAAGAACACATTTAACGCAGACAACCTGGACATTCACACTCACATACCCTACAAACAAGCTATTTCAAAATCACATTTAGTAGAATAGTGCAGTAAAATTGCTATTAGACTATTCTATTATTATAAAAATTAGACAAAGAAACAAAACCATGTGTGATGATGAATTATATTGGGCAATTGAAAGTAAGAAACCAATCTCACACCTTTGGCTCAACTTTAACTTTCCTAGAAGTGCTGATGCTGACGTTAAATTGAAGACTTTGTTAAAATTCAACAGAAGCAGAGCAAATAACTTTAAAATAGGGTTTGGACAAAGTCCTTTCTCAACAAGAAGAATGGTTTCCACTGTAGTGTGTGCCAAGTGCAAACCGCAAGCTTGTTGCCCGTTTAGGTGTCAGCTAACTCTAACTTAGACAGCGCAGTGAACACAAGAACTACAAAGTTGGAATAATCGTATATTTTTAATTGCTATTGCAGTTATCATAATCAACTCCATGCGGTGTGTCATGTCTTGGCATGCAAAAGGAAAATTAACATGGCATTTCACTCTTTCTGTTGGAAATATGCTGGACAATTTAGTCTAGGGTGGATTTAAGCCTAATTTATGATTCTCATCTGTAGGTTGTTGAAATGTTGGTGGATTACCAAAACAAGTCATTGAGGTTATGCATCACTCCAAACCATCTCCCAGCAGCCAAACAACGGATCATCTCCATTTCGCCAAAATTCAATCTCTGGAGTCCCATAACAGAGGGACACAAAGGGAGGGACTTCCCTAAACAACATGTTCATACCATGCAATTTAAGGCTGGAATACACACTACACGACTGAAAATCGGAACAGATTGTAAATCATTGGACATAATGCACTAATTGACTGACCATTTTTCTACATGATCAGTAACCAGCCGGTCAGTCTCATTTCTTCATGGACGGTCCGTTTTGTTGCCAGCGAGATACAATAACTTCAGCTGCGCGTTCTCACTCTCTTCTCTCCAACAGCGAAGTGACACAGACCCGCCTCCTGTCACTCACTCATCTCATTCGCTCTGGTTAAATAGCCTAGGGCTTGTATTGCGCATAAATTGCCATTATAATAATAGTAAGTTTAGCAACTATCTCTGGCCAAACTATTTAAAAATGGCGGGGTAATTCCGGATACTCCATCTGGCGCGTGCAATGATGACACAGTGAATGGTGACGATTCTCTCTGACCAATCAGCAGTCGGCATTGTTTTCACGTCACATTTTAGATTCAATCGCCTCAGCTCGCTCAGAACCTCACCGATGCTACCGCCAACTTCACTATTATGTTTCGCCACAAACAATTACACACAATTCAACAAAAGCTGCCAGCACCTGTACCAATTTATTTATCAATATGGTTCCACTGCAAGGATAAAGAAGTCAAACCCAACATTACACAATGAATGACAATGAAAAGGCCAACTATATCAATATCCACCTTCTTTCAGCTGAATTCATGCATGCTTAAAAGATCCCTTCAGCTCTTGGCATCCATTACATTACAGGAACTTGACTGCAGGGCTTGTTTGTGCAACAGACACCCAGAAGAACAGTCAGGGATTCAGAAAAATGATGAGTAGAATTACACTTTAAGCAGTTCTTACAGTAACAGAAAGCATTACACATTAGAGATGCACCAATGTTTCGGATGGCGATTTTTTTTTTAATCAATTTAGAAACAGCAATGCTCCACTAAATGGGGCAAACTGACAAGAAAGAAAACAGTTAAAATGTTCCTTGATACCTTGGATTAGGAAATGTATTCTCAATGAGTTAAAAAGTAATTCCCATGGGTTCGTTTTCACCAACTATTGTGGTTTTACCTTTGGACTTAAAACAATCAAATCATTGTTTCTGGGTAGGTCATGGGAATGTCACAACAAAAAACTTAGACAAACTTCCAGAGAGCATTTTTGTCTGTTTTTTGTTTTTGTTTGAGACCTCCACAGCAATTCACCAAAAGGCCACGTTAATAAAAACAATACGAAGCTATAAGATACAGCTATTGTTTGGTCTTTAAATTATATAATGATGTTACCAGCAGATAAATAGTCATATAGGAAAAATGTACACCAGGGTTAAGATATCACATTGGTAGCAGGTAACATTTTGCAGACAAAGTAAAGCATCCTTTTGCTGGTTAGTCAAGCAACAGGATGCTCTATATATAACATTATTGTTGGAAACTTTCTTATGTTATACAGACAAATAATGTCTGTCAGTCAATCTAGTGTTTTAGTTGTGACCATCAATAAAGCACATGCATGCTCTAACTTTTTGAGAACTTGAGAAAAGCCATGCAGTTTTTCATTGGGTTTAGCGGGTCTAATATTGACTAATTATGATGTTTCTCATTAATTTGCACCGTAAATAGAGAACATCACTTGCAGAGTAAAAGACTGAATTGAAGCTCATTCATTTTCAGGTGAAGAGCACAGACGGATCAAAACAAGGCCCACAGGTCATTCGGCGTTGTATTTTAGGGTTGACAGCTGAGCTGAATCGTCGAGTTTGTCATTAAAAATACAACAACAACAAAAATATTAAAGTGTGTTGTGATGTTAAGGTAGAGCGATACCGTTATCCATTCACCACCACATGAAATTAACATGGTGCCTTTAGCTAAGCTAATAGGCTAATTAGCTAGCATGTATAACGGGCCAGCGAACCGTCTAAATGTATAACATTTGAACAACACAAACTCCATAATTATATACAGACACACGCACACACAATTGGAACACACACAATTTTTGACAATTGGACATATGCGTCAAAGACCGTCCAAGCTCATTTGCTGCTGACTAAAGAGATGTTTTAGCGGTAAAGCTACCACTGTTGGCAAAAAAAAATGTATAGATAAGAAGATTGTATCTGATAAAGTAGTGGACAGTCTAACAAGTCAACATTTTAAAGCGTTATATGAAGGTAAACGCGCCTATTGTGCTCCAAAATGCTTCACGCTCCTGTCATGCCCAGAGATGATGCCTAAGTAGGCAGCTGAGCTCACTAGGGTTTGGAACACAGCCCAGAGAAGAGGGAAAGACAAGCGTGTGTGGATTTAATAGAAGAACAGGCTTCAACGGGAAGGGGTCATAAATAGGTTTAAAATTGTGAAATAAGAGAGATCATACTGTTATATTAACCGTGTGCTGCTCGTGATCAGCTGAGGGTGTGACGTCACGGGATCCGCACCTTCATAAGTAACGGGCCTCCGCATCGACACACAAGAATCTTTAGAAAGCAAAAGCCCGGGCATACTCACGCTTTATCCACCAACTCCCTGACTTTCCACATATTCAACATCTCGGCGCTTTAGCAGGGGCTCTCCGCCTCAATATCTCGTCGTCCAGTCCGCACTAAAACACAGGTGGACTCGGATATCTGTTACCGATAATAACAGAATCCCTCAGCCCCTTCCGCCTCTCCAGCGCTAATCGACACAGCAGCAGCAGCACAGCGGAGCGGACGGTTACTACGGTGACGCGTATTGTGCGTCAGGATGGAGAGGACGCGGGCATGACGTCAGATGTGGTCATCATGGGAAATGTAGTTTTTCGAAGAAACGCAAAGCACTTGTTTTGTTAATCACCGAAAAAGGGCCATGAAATGCCGTTTTAGATTTTTATTCTAGGTTTCTCCAGGTTAGTTAATCCATTTGGCAGAAACAGATAAGGTATATTCTTTATTTCTTAAGACTTTGAAGATTTTAAATTGAACTTTGCATGGCTGCACTTTATAATGGTGGTAACCCAACTGAAAACACTTTTTGACTTTGTCAATTTGTGTAAATCTACTTAGGCTTTAGAGAATTTTCCCCCCCCACATTAATTTACCACATGTCTAGTACAATTATGTGGTTTTGTTTTATTAATACAATTGTATACTTTTTTCTTGATTTACCCTGAAAGAATGGAAGTGAAATGTGACAACATGCCCCATAGGTGGGGTACATTGTAACATAACCATATAACAGCTTAAAATGCTATCTAATCAAACCAAGTCAAACCAAAATATTTTCTTAATAAAATACACTTATTAACTCTTTCAAATAAAATAATGGCATTTTTTAATAATTAAAAATATACTACTGTTTGACTTTGATAACACACCGCTATACAGCATATTTCAAAATAAAATAATAATTAATAATTTCTGAACATTGACTCTCAGTCTTTATTTACCCGTTTCTCTTGTTTTCTCAATAGAATTCAAAAAAGTAGGCTATAGAATATAATAGCATATTTCTATAGGGGCACATTGTAACGCAGTGTGACAACATGCCCCAACTGCACAACTGGGGTTTAAACCCTGCTAGTGTCTTCTGCTAGCTAGATAGCGATGCTTTAAAGAACTATATCAACTGTTAAAAAACAGATTGGTGATTAAAATAATATCATATTTGTCTAATTTTAAATAAACACAAAAAATAGAGATGAAAAATGAACTTAAGTAAAAATTTACTTTTGCTATGGTTAAATAAATGTTATATCTTACAAAGATTTTTGCTAATTTTTTCTCTGCATAGTGTTGAAATAGTAACTAGTAAATACAACAAGTTAAGTATTTAAAACAAGTGTGTTACCCCACGTTACTGTGTGCCCCTATCGGTGGAATTTTACAAAAGCCCTGTGTCATCATCCTCAGACTGTCCTGTTGTCTTTATGTGTTAAGATTGAAGATTGTGTTCAGCAGAGGCTAAATATCAACTCCTAAATGGCTGCTGCCTGACCAAATAATTCACTTAATCAAAGTTTAAATTCATTTCAGAACGTTTTGCACCATCCCTATAGCTACTGTGTAACTATTTTGGTAACAATTTGACCAACAACCTATTGGAGTCTGAAAGCTAGGTTTTTAGGAAACTTTTAAATGCTGGAAAAAATTATAGGTGGAAATGAAATCAGAGATATACATTTTGTAGTGCAGTGGTTGACTCAAGGATATTCTGGGTATTCCAAAGTTATGATCCAAAATGCTAATTATTTTATTTTAGAGCCGAGTCAGGCGGGTGTGTGTCTGTGCACGATTGGGAACATCTTGGCAATTTGATGGTCTCTTTGATTTACAGTCTCCGACACCAATACAGTTTTAGGGCAGAACAATTTTGTGGAAGAACATTGTTTTGGTTGTGCTTTGTGGGTGAATTGGTGTCTCCTACTGCTCATAAAACATTCACTACTAGGCTTGGAAGATATAACCAGTTTAAATGGAAATGATCTCAGTCTGACTCGCCACGTTTCTTCCTTGAAAATAAATTCTTGCACAGATCTGCAACAATCATAATGAAATGACCCATAACAATAGAATGAAATCTGTTAAAAAGCTACATATGGCCTTTCTCACCTGTTGAGTTATAAACGTCACTAGAATATTTCAGATTCATTAACATTAACAAGGTCAAGAAATTATAACTATATATATACACTGTATATATATATATATATATATATATATATATGTGTGTGTGCGAACAAAATGATCCACACAATTAGTAGAGAATGAGATAAATGATCAGTGGGATTGTCCAAAGAATTTTGTGTAAGTTATGCAAGTATTTTAATTCCATATGAATTTAAAAAAGAATTCACAAAAGCATATGTAATTTGGAAAAAAAGTAAACAAGGTCCACCACTAACCCTACCCATAAACATACAAAACTAATTAAATTGTATGAATTCATATGAATTAGTCATCAATTTGCCAAAATAGTTATGAATTTCCAATGAAATTGTGTTGAACTCTGTTTGTTTTTCTTTAATTATTTACAGATTTTCCCACGGCTTCATGTCTACGGCCAAATCCACATACCGCCATCCACTTTTGCATGATAATCGCTTTCATAGATTAATAGATATATTTGATTATATTTATCACAGAGTTTGTGAATTGCAAGCATTTTGCTAAAATCAGCAGTTGAGTTTGAAGTTGCAGATAGTCTTTCAACTTCTGACTCTAGAAAGTGGGACAAAGCTCCCCAAATGTCTCTGTCAAAACTTAATGGACATTTCCAGTACACCCTTCAACAAGAGCACGCCTATCAACAGCAGTCAAAAGCAACATCCACGCATTCAGAAAACACCGTGATCCTTCGTAGCCCAAATATAAAATGGCAGAAAGGAGCCATCCTTGAAAGTCTGTTAATCCTGCAGCACTTTGGCATCCCGATTCCATCACGCTCGTCTTTGTGATGGACAGCGGACATCTGCGAAGGTTAGGCCACCCGTTTCCTGATGTCGTCTCCAATTCAGGGTCCATTTCTCAAGAGTCTGTGTCATATTGCCTCCATGTGTGAATTCCGGTGAAACGCTGAGATTTTAAAGATGGACTCGGATGGAGATAAAAAAGGCAACCTTTCACATAAACACATGGTATAAATAAATCATTAACCTGATGACAATCAAACAAGCAAGAAACATCGATTGTCTAGAGTGACAACAGACACAAGACGGCACTTAACGTCCTCAAAGTCTAGCACCCGAGGGAGCTGAGAGACCATTGTGGGCAGGCAGATTTGAAGTCTAGATGAGGATGTCAGGACACTCAGGAACCATTTGATCAGATTAACTAAAAGGAGTGGCAGAGATTGACAGCTGAGGCTGTTTTGTGGCTGCCGATAAAGTATTCAGTAGTGGTGTGGCCATCGGGAGGGGTAAAGTGGTAAACAATGTCCACGGGAGGCACTTAGACGTGGACCCACCGACTGAGAAAGTGCTGTGACATGGAAAAGCTGTGATGAGGTGTGAGATATATATACATGGCCTCTTGGCAATTTACTCAATCGCTAACACCTATACTCTCAGAAAAAAAGGTACAAAAGCTGTCACTGGGGATGTACCTTTTCAAAAGGTACACTTTTGTACCTTAAGGGTGCATATTGGTACCTTAATGGTACATATTAGCACCTAAAATGATCGGATCAACACTTAAACTGTACATATTAGTACCTGAAATGTACATATTAGCACCTATTAGCACCTAAAATGTACATATCAACACTTAAAATGTACATATTAGTACCTGAAATGTACATATTAGCACCAAAAATGTACATATTAGCACATAAAATGTACATATTAACACCTAAAATGTACATTTTAGTACCTGAAATGTACATATTAGCACCTATTAGCACCTAAAATGTACATATCAACACTTAAAATGTACATATTAGTACCTGAAATGTACATATTAGCACCAAAAATGTACATATTAGCACATAAAATGTACATATTAACACCTAAAATGTACATATTAGTACCTGAAATGTACATATTAGCACCAAAAATGTACATAGCACATAAAATGTACATATTAACACCTAAAATGTACATATCAACACTTAAAATGTACATATTAGTACCTGAAATGTGCATATTAGCACCTGAAATGTACATATTAGCACTAAAAATGTACATATTAACACATAAAATGTATATATTAGCACATAAAACATACAAATTAGTTCCTAAAATGGACAAAAGAGTACCTTTTGAAAAGGTACAGCCCCAGTGACAGCTTTCGTACCTTTTTTCTGAGAGTGTATAGGTAAAAATTAATGCATTCAGTTTGATATTAAATAATACTTCAGACTTCACCAAAACCAATTCATTTAGAAATTAAAATTTTTAGTGTACTATTTATTTCACTGTAGTGTAATGGTTTTAACTCAATTGAATATCATGGTTTCACTTTGTTTTAGTCTTAGTTTCATACTTTATCATTCTAAAAATGCACAATAACTGTGAACCACATTGCGAAACAGTGTGGAAAAATGATCTTCCATTAAAGGGCTGCTTCATGCTTTCATTTCGACTCATTCAAAGTGGGAAAACACATGACAAGACTAAAACCAATATAAAAACAACCATAACACATCTCCAAATTCCATTTGACTCAGTATGTTCATTTTTATTTAATTGATCATTAATTTGATCAAATTCCTAACTGAAGTCTGAAGTGTCCTAACTGAGGGTTTATACAGTATTCCCCAACAGAGGGCACTATTACACCTCAAAATACACAATATATGAGTCCTAAGACTTCAAATTCCTGTTATCCAGTTACACATAATAAAAAAATATGACTCATGACACAAAAATAATTGGCATCCGTATTTGGTCCCCTTACAAAAAAAGCGACTATTGCAGTAGCATACATTGATGGTACTTTTGTTTTTTTACAATTTGGTGCAATAATTCATATGTATAGTAGTAAAGTAATGGCATAATAAAACCGTATTTGTTTAGATTTAACAGAGAAAAAATAAAACATTCTGGAATAATAATATGGATGTGGATGTGAAAATTGCATACCACTTGAAAAAAACAAACAAAACAACTTAAGTTCATTTGTGGTGAGAAATGAATCAAAGAAAAGCATCTTTGAATAAAAGTGTGAAAAGAACAATGACAAATCTGCCAATGAAGGGATGGCATAGTTTTGAACTCTACAAGACAAAGATATTTGCATTTGCATCGCAT